ACTTCAGGAGGTATTAATTTCCAGATCAAAGGATATATTCGCCCTCCGCTTAGTATAGCCTAGCAATATCTTAATTTACTTCAACGTACTTTAATATAGCTCTATAATAGGTCAATTTACTTTAACTTACTTCTAGGAACTCTCAGATATCAGTCGCAGATATATCGTAAGCTAGATAGAACTCTAGAATAAGTCTATATACTTTAATACTCATAGGTATAACTCGCTAATATCTTATTACCTTATTATACTTATAACATAGGAATATCACTAGTTCTAATATATTACTATTGTTTCTATATTACATAAGAGGATATAACAAAGTCGGTTTTATATAGTAGTAGTATATATAAAGTTACCTAGGTAGATAGATACTAAAGTACTTTATATAGTAGTCTCGCCTAGCATAGCTCTATAATAGGTTAATTTACTTTAACTTACTTAGAAATACTGATCGCTGATATCTTATCAGCTTATCGCAACGTACAACTAAGGAACCTCGCTAGCCTTAATATTTTAATATCTTTACCCTAACGTATATTCTTACCACTGCAGTTTTATTATACTCCTTTCCCATAGTTAATCAGATAGTTGTTCTAATACTTAGAAATAATAAGATTAAACAGATAAGCGCAGCTAATACTTTTAAAGCCTTCACGAAAGAACCGAGACCAGCGCAGTCGTAAAAGCCGTCTCTAGCGCACCGATCTAACCCTTATAGAAAGGATTGAGACTATATACAACATGCCACTCTCAAAGCTATATAGTATTATAGATACTACTTGTGACGAGCCTTCACTACATAATAAAGTCATGTCTTTATATTTAAAACAAATATTAAAACACCTTTCCCTAGACCAGGACTGTACCCCTTAGGAAAAGCAAGTATCTACTCTAAGAAGGCTGATATTTAATAAAGGAGACACTATCTTAATTACTCGTATAAGCTTTAGCAAGAGTATTATATTTTAATCATATTACGTTCTTACTTAGCTTATCTGCCTCCAGATAACTCCACTGAATCGACTCAGTAAAGAACACCTTTTTAATATCAAACTACTCGGAGTAACTAAACCATATCTCTTAATAAACGAGACCAAGTATAACGACGATTTACTATTACAGTACATTACAGATAGTATATATAATCATATTCTATTATCTCCTAAGCAAGCTATCTCCAAGGACTTCCGCAAAATCCTGAAATTACCTAGCTTTAATAGCAGAGTTGGGCTTATAGCTATCGACGAGCTACATTTCGTCGAGCAATAGAAGGACTTCCGAGTACAATTTGCTATATTAGGAGAGCTCCAATCAATACTACCTAAAAATACCATATAATTTAGATATATAGCAACACTGCCTTTAGATACATTATATTAAACACTTCATATAGCAGGCTTTAAGAAAGTCACTACGGAGCTATCGCCATACACGACTACTATTATTCGTACTTCAATCGATAAGCAGGATATATCCCTAGCAGTTATACCTATCCCGCGAAAGAAACTTACTGTTTTCAACCGACTATACTACCTACTAGACTAGGCCATTAAAGTCGATACGTAAGAAATCATACCTAAGAAGATTCCCAAGATAATTATCTTTATTAACAGTATTAAGTAATACAAGTAACTTACACGTTAGCTACAGCACTACCTTATATTAAAGACAGCTACTTAGTCAGGAAGACGTTATACGAATAATACCTTAAATAGTATTATTAAGATTATATAGACCTTCTACTCTCGGGTTTCTTAATCAGATAGAGATTTAAGATATAACGCTTTTTATATCTTAGGTTCTACTTATAGACTTATAATTGCTACAACCTCGATAGGAACTAGAATAAATATTCCAGATATTAGACAAGTAGTAATATAAAAGTTACTAATCGATCCAATACTAAACGAGCTCTAGTAACGAGCAGGATATAGCGGTCAAGGAGAAGGATAAACCTGCGAGGTATATATATTCGTACTATATTAAGTAATAGATAATAAAGGGAAATATCCAGAACTAAAAGCTACAAGTTCTAATACAGCTCCAAGTCCTAAGGTTTTATTATAAAAGCCGGTACACCGAAACCTTCGTCATCTGTTACCCGGGAATCGTATTACAATACAGACTCAGTCCAGACTCAGAGAGACTACTTCTATTAGCGAGGTGCTAGATAATATATATCCGAGTGATATTAAATCAGTTAACAGTAACAAGAGTACTACAAGTGATACTAATAAAGCTGAACCGACTAATACTATAGATAACAGCAAGAGGCTCAAAGTATAGACTCAGTCTAAAATAAGATCTAGAGACAACCTACCTACTATATACAAAGAAGTATATAACATAGCGTATCAGCGGAACGTGTTACTAAAGCTCTTAGGTAAATATCTACTCCTAATTAAGAAGAGAAACCGTCCTTTAAAGCGTAACTATTATACAGGGTATAACCCCGACTTAACCCCCCCTTCAACAGAGTTACTACCTAGGTCCTATATAAGACTAGACGTGCTAAGGAAGAGCAGCTATAGAGCTTTCGCCCTCTAGATATTAAAAGAATAGTATACCGAGTATACTCTTCTCTTCGACTCCTTATTCCCGAACAGTTGTTTTTATCTAGGGCCTGAGATATTTATACTGAGCTTTACTATTCTTATATTAGCCGCGGTATATACTAATCAGAAGTCTAATTATAAGAAGCTCAGCTAATTAATATAAGATAAGTTAATTGTAAAAGTTCCCTAGCTTAATAAGTAGGAATACAAAGAGAGCTAGAGAGTAAGCCTATTAAATAAGCTATTAATACTCCATGAAGTAGTTAAGAAAGAAGTATAAAAGGAAAGAATATTAAGAGCTATAAAGAAAAGAGCTAGTAAAGAGTATACTACTGAAAGCAATCGAACTAGCGATTCTCTTATACCTACTCCTAATATAATATAGTCTTCACAAGGTCCAGCGCTTACTACGTTAAATAATAAAATACTACCGCCCTCTCCTTATACTCCACGAACTCTATCCCGTTACTAATTAATATTACTAATCCCTTTACAACCGTCCCCATCAGTAAAAGATATAAACACAACACTAATCCCAAGTCCGAGTAGGATTAATTAGTCACTAAGAGTATATTGATCGCGCTATTCGACTCCCTTACTAGAGCGCCCTTCAGTATTGCTTATAGATAGCCTAATAATAAGACAGGCTGTCAAATAGCAAATATAAGCATCCCTGAGTAAAAGGTATATATAAGAAATACTAGAAAATAAACATCCAGCTAATACTAAGAGGGGGCTTAAGAGGACCAGCGAATAGCTCAGTCCATTACACCGACATAATAAGAGACGCTAAGAAGGAAGTACTAGTTAGTAAGTAGATATAGTACCTAGGAAGTAAGTTAAAGTAAGTAGGCTAATTAGAGACTTAGATATAAGGAAAAGAAGTAAGGTAAGCCAACTGTAATACTAATACTTGATATAAGTACTGAATATTAATACCCGGATAGTAATCCGAAGTAAATTGAAGTAAGTAGGCTAATAGGAGATAAGATAACATATAATATGATTTAATTAATACTAAAAAACTAGAGTACAGATAAGAAACCGAAGTAAGTTGAAGTAAGTGAAATAAACGTAAAGCGGTAGCTAGTATCTACCTCGACACTTAAACTTATACGACTCTTATAAGCAACAACTTATCAAACAAAGAGTAATATAATATTACTCGCTATAATTATCTTACCTTATCAAGAGGTCAGCAGTAATATCTAAGCGTGTAATTAAGAAATAACAGAGGCGTTTCTAGCTGAAAAGGCGCGAACATATAAGCGCAGGAACGCCCACTCAGCTGTAACTTCATCAATTAACAAGCTATAATTAAAAGGATAACATAGGGCGACTCTATATACCTTTCTTATCCTCAGATATTAATTCGTATCATATAAGAATATATAGTTAAGAAATCGCAGAGGTATTTCCGGCTGAAAAAAAGCAAGCGCAAAAGCACAGGAACACCTACCTAGCTATAACTTTATCAACTAACAAGCTATAATTAAAAGAACAACGTAGGGCGACTCTATATACTTTTCTTATCCTCAGATATCAATTCGTATTATATAAGAATACGTAGTTAAGAAATCATAGAGGTGTTTCTAGCTAAAAAAAAGCAAGGGTCTACATTAAGTAACGCCTACTTAGACGTAACTTTATCAATTAATAAGATATCACAAAAAGAACAACAGGAGGTAATCAGGTATATCTTTCTAATCCTCAGAAAATATTCAGGTCTATATATAGAGGTATTATTAGAAAATACTAGGGAGGTTTCCAGTTAGACTATTCTGCTAAGTGCGAGTAAGAAATTAACACCTTAGTCTTAGCACGTATACTTCACCCTTAAGGAAATCAATACAAGCAAAAATAAATATTTTATTAAATAGATAAATAGATTACCTACTGTCTATAGTATACCCGAAGTTATTTGAATAGTTATATGTTAAGTTATAGTAAAGTGACTAAAGAATTAAAGTCGGCTTAAAATTAATCTCTATACAAATCAGCACTATTTTCCCTCAGACGCTTCGTAGCGAGAAAACCTACCCGGACCCACGCGTTACCTAATCAAGCAGTAGCACGGCGCTAAAGAGTAAGTTGAAGTAAATAAACCAATGAATAGTCTATGCGCAGTAAGTGGAGGTAAATAGACCAATGGCGACAATAGGTCTATACGCACCTAGGCGGGCGGTTTTCAAGCAAGAAGTGGCTGTCTGAGATAAGCTTGAGCCAAAGGTCAGCCTCGCGTCAGTCACGTGCTCAGCCTGATTTTCATTTTCATCGCTTGAATTCTTAAGCCTTCACGCGTTGATAGTTTGCGACGAAGCTCATCCTGCTATGATTAATGACTTTTTGACGTGTTTTTCCATCTAAATCTTCTCAAGAATCATCATCTAAGTTTCCTTCGCAATCTATCCCCTCCGATCGACTTCATACCTGCCTTTCAACATGGTTCAGATCAGCGAAGTCAAGGGCAACGCCCGCGACAGTCGTACTGCAGCGCATACCCATATCAAAGGCTTGGGTTTACGGCCTGATGGTACTGCTGAAAGACAAGCAAATGGATTTGTAGGCCAAGTTGCGGCTCGAGAGGTAAGAGCTTTCAATTCGATATAAAACCTAGCTAACTTCAAAGGCCTGCGGAGTTGTCGTCGACCTCATTCGAGCACAGAAAATGGCTGGCAGAGCGATATTACTTGCAGGGGGACCTGGTACAGGAAAGACAGCTCTCGCCCTCGCAATCAGCCAAGAACTCGGTACAAAGGTTCCATTCTGTCCCATCACCGGCAGCGAAATCTACTCGTCCGAGGTCAAGAAGACCGAAGCTTTGATGGAGAACTTTAGAAGAGCTATTGGATTGAAGGTCCGGGAAACTAAGGAGGTCTATGAGGGAGAGGTCACCGAGCTGACACCCGAGGAAGCTGAAAATCCCCTTGGTAGCTACGGCAAGACCATCAGCACCCTGTTGATCGGCTTGAAGAGCGCAAAGGGCCAGAAAAAGCTACGACTCGACCCGAGCATCTACGAGGCCATTCAAAAAGAGAGAGTTACGGTTGGAGATGTGATCTATATCGAGGCAAATACGGGAGCTTGTAAGCGTGTTGGCAGATCTGATGCATATGCGACGGAATTCGACCTGGAAGCTGAAGAATACGTCCCAATACCCAAGGGAGAAGTGCACAAGAAGAAGGAAATTGTTCAAGACGTCACACTACACGACCTAGATATTGCCAATGCGAGACCACAAGGAGGACAAGATATCATGAGTATGATGGGACAGTTGATGAAGCCAAAGATGACTGAAATCACCGAGAAGCTTCGTGCTGAAATCAACAAGGTTGTCAACAAGTATATCGACCAAGGTGTTGCTGAGCTCGTCCCTGGTGTCTTATTCATCGATGAGGTATGCATTGTCCAGATCCCAACTAGACTCCACTAACATAGAAAGTGCCACATGCTTGATATCGAATGCTTCACATACCTCAACAAGGCACTGGAGTCGAGCATCTCACCGATTGTCATTCTTGCCTCAAACAGAGGTATGTGCACGATCCGTGGTACCGAGGACCTCGTCTCCGCACACGGAATCCCACCGGATCTTTTGGCTCGTCTCCTGATCATCCCTACCAATGCATACGAGCCTGAGGAGATCAAGAGAATCGTCCGAATCCGAGTTACTGTTGAGGGCCTTGCAATCACAGAAGCTGCGCTGGACAAGATCGCAGAACATGGTTCGCGGATCAGCTTGAGGTACGCACTACAGCTCCTCACGCCTTCCAGTATACTTGCGCGAGTAAGCGGACGCAATCAGATCGATGTCATGGATGTGGGAGAGTGCGAGGATCTTTTCATCGATGCTCGGCGCAGTGCAGCAATCGTTAATAGTGAGACTGGTACCGGTTTTATCAACTAGAGGAACGACAGGATGAGAGCCAGCTTTGTGTGGCCGTCCTCGGATCTGGCTGGGGTTTGGCGTTGAGGAATGTCTTGGAGCGTTTGTCATGGAGCTGGCACAGGCGGAGCGAAACCAGCCCATCCCAAGCCAACTCCCTCTAGAAGTGTACGAATATCAAAATTTGGGGTACTTTAATCAATCTCAAGATCAATTTCTAATTTGTTTGCACTGTTCAGCATCCTCTTCCCCATTTCCACGATGCTGGTGCTGTTGGGTGGGTGTAATAAAAGTGCCGCTGCTCCTGCGAACGGAACCTGTGTGGACAAAGAAAACTCGCCTACGAATCTGCGTCTCCAGACGGCTCTCCCGAGACAACAAAGGCACTACGCCTGCAATAATGGCACCGCTAGGTTTGGGATGCTTGGGTGGTTGACTGGACGAGATCATTGTTTTTCTATCCCCAATGGGCATTGCATACAAAGAATCTGGTCAACAAGAAGGCCATTCATGATATTTTCGTGCCTCGTTCCTCTATTTCTTTGCTCCAGATCCTATATCTCGACGACATCCCACAACGGAGATCGTCAGATACGTTGAGAGATATGATGCCCGTTTCCGCAGCGGTGCGCCATTCAAATATGGACACTCCACGGTCGCCAGTGAGCATCTCGACCGATTCCAGTCGACGTGGTTCTTTGAAGCAGGTTCTTCCAGAGATGCACGCCGATTTACAGACTCCAAATTCTCCACGAACCCGTTTGTCACGAAAGCGAGCTGCCTCGCTGATTACTGACAATGCAAAAGAACCAAGAATAGGGGATATGCCCCGAATAGGGGATATGCCTCTCAACAGCGCCAACACCAGCGGACCTCCAACTTCGGACCTAACAAGAGAGCAAGTGTGTCTTTGTCAACCAGACCCCAAGATACCTAGACCTCGAAACGGTACGTGACCAGTATATTCTTTGAGGAGTCGATGCTGTGGCAGATGTTTTCCGCACCTGCACAATCTATTTCTTTATGATTTTCTCCAAAGGGCCTTTGATGAAAACTCGAGAGCTAATATTCTTTGTAGCTTTCATCCTTTACCGCCAGCATCACCAGGCCCAGGTTGTCTCCCAGAATCCTCGACTTGCAAACCCCGAGATATCCAAAATCATTGGCGAACAGTGGAGAGATCAAGCACCTGAAGTAAAGAGTGACTGGAAGAGACTTGCAGAAGTACACACAATCCGGGGGCTGTTAAGGGAGTGCTAACGACCGCCAGGAAGAAAAGCAACGCCACCAGAGAAAGTATCCAGGCTATAGGTACCAGCCTCGTCGAGCGGGTAAGTTGAACGGTTTGCGCTCGACTTCTATATCGGGTGACGATCCAACACGCTGCCCAAAGTGCAACGGCAGGTACATATCAACTCCAAGTACCCCTTTAACACCATTCACACCAGCCTTTTCCGCAGCTTCAATGACCGAGCGCGTATTACCTCCTTTTACTTCCTCCCACACCCGAATCGAAAGACAACCCTACGCAAGCCCAATGCAAAACAGGATGGATACACCTCGCGTCATGTCCCATCAACAGACTTTCCACGGACCACAGTACTTGCCTTCACCTGAACTTCTTCGAAAACGTAAGGAACGAGACGAGGACATGTATATACATAGTTCACCTCCAGGTCAGAAAAAGTACAGGGGAGTAGGATACGTAGCGAGCTCTGCTATACCTGCTTGGTCCCCCTATCATGATGGCTTTCCAGCAAATCCAGCAATTTACGGACAACCTGTTCCCGGGCCTGGCATGCCTCCTCGTCGTGAATCAATACATCGACCCATGGGACCTCCCTCCTGCTCCCCCTCAGTTAAGCATCCACGCCATCAAGACTTAATTCGCTCAAACAACTCCGACGAATCACTCCATCTGCCTCCCCTCCTGACCCAAACGGGCTTTATTGCTAAATCTCAGCAGACGGACTCTAGGACGGAAGCTCGGTTGATCCATGCTAAGAGCGTTGAAGCTATGGTCATGACAATGCCGTACGTCGGCAAGATCCAAGTCCTCACGAGGGTATCTCCTCCTCTTGCACCTCCAGGTCCTACAAGTCCAGCTCAAGAGATTCGTGGCGCTGTCGTCGCAGTTGAGGGTACTGATAAGGCTTTGCTGACTGAGATTGGCACTTTCATCCATGAGTATCTCAGCAAAGACTTATCCTGTGCCATCGCAACCTGGGCTACATCAGATCAAAAGCAAAAGGAAACCAACCCAGAGATGACTGGCGCTCCAAACTCTGCCGACGGGCAAGAAAGAGATCCGTTCATCGACTACCTGTCTATCATTTCAGAATGGCACAAGAAATCCCAAGAAATAATCAAATACATCACCACCACCCCTACTCCGCCATCGAAAGAGCTGATACCTCCATCCGAACTCAAGACTAAAATCCTCCCTGTCGCTCTCGTACCAGGCGGTTTCTCCTTGAGCACATCCGACACCTTTGCCCTCCGCATACCCATCAATGATTCTTACTCTCCAGTCGACCACTGGCAATGGACGGCGACACTGTGGCGTGGTATTGTGGGTCCAGATCTCACCATCTATGTTAGCCGAGTAGGTCGCGATGAGTTGAGCAAATACGGAGAGGTTCAAATCCTTCGAGAATGCCCTTGTATCATCGTACGAATACCCGACGGAAATACCAAGATGGATGACAAGACCGCTAGGAGGTTGGGCTTTGAAGTTGTGGAGTTTGTAAGGAATATGGAGACAGGGTTCGGACGGACATGACTTTGCTTTAATTTGGATACTGGATAGGGGACTGGTGGAAGAATTTTGCATTGAGTGCATTGAGTGCATTGCTTTCACTGTTTTATTATGGCATCGCAATTTGTAGTTTACAGATCAATAGATTTGGTAGACCTATTGCAATTGAATGCTCCTATCTATAGATGCTAAGCATGTCTTTCAAGCAACTCTACAATCACATGCTCTTTATGCTCTCATCGTTGCAAACTCAATTGAATGTCATCCAGGTAAGCTGCCAATAAGAACAAAGCTGCACGTGTGTCGGTAGAGTTTGACCACCCCGCATTTTCTCAGATCCAACAACACATGATATGAAAGGCCCTCTCGCACACCTGCAGCCATCACTCCAGTTTCGGAATCAGCCCAACTTCCAAGCAAGAAGTGGACTGAATGACTCTTTCTCACAATCGAATCCAATCACAGAAGCCAGCCTCGGCATGCATCCCTAAATGCTGACATTCTCACCACATCGAGAAAGAGAAAAAGAATAAGCCCCATTACGCGAGGACATTCTACTGGCTCAGGACTACGACGAACTAAAGCTATACGGTCGAGAATCTTAACGAGTCTGGCCCTTTCTCACGGAGATCGTAATTGGCTGTTGCTACCTTCATCTTCCCGTGCTGGGGGCTGAGAGTCAAGTGATCAATACCCCGACCCGTCTCAACTTTACCAGAGAGACAGATCGAGATTTACTTTCGGAACTGACAGTTCATTAATAATATTCCGATGGTTTGCTTTGAAACCTAACTGAAGGATTGGAGCCTATCATAAGTATATAAGACGCCCTTGGGTCACCCTAACCTTAAAATCTACATCCTATGATCCCTATCTATCATACTGGTCCCAAACAATCGCAACAAAATCCACATCATGGCAAAAGGTTCATGTCTCTGCGGCGAACTGAAGTACAGCTTCAGCGGTGCACCAGTGATGCAGGTAACACATCCTCTCTCCCTTTCTCCTAGCCTTCTACTTATTTCTTATTGACACCGCCCAGGCAATCTGTCACTGCGTAACCTGCCACAAGTTAAGCGGCAGTGCATTCACTACCAACGTCCTCGTCCCCAACACATCTCTTAAAATTGTGTCCGGCTCCTCTAACATGCGATCCTGCTCGTTACGCCACAAGAGCGGCATGACTATCACGACTCACTTCTGCGAGAAGTGCGGTACGACAATTTATAAAGAGGGTACGGCAGATGAGTTCAAGGGCTTGTGCATTGTGCAAGCTGGAACCTTGGATGGTGGAGAGGGTGACATGGGTTTGGATGATGTGGAAGTCAAGGCGGAGTTGTGGGTCAAGGAGAGGGCGAAGTGGTTAAATGCTCAGGAGGGATTGGGACAGATGCAGGAGTTTTCTTGAGGTGCCAGCGAAGTGGGGTACTTTGGGAGCGAATGCGAAACATGACGATGTAGTCAAATTTCCAGATTGTCAGGTGTGAGTAGAGCAGTAGCCTTTGCTCCGATTTTGGTGAATTCTTTACTGCATGTGTCACATTCGCTTATTGTAGCGATAGTCTCCTTGCGTTGAACTAAATAAAAACACAAATTGAGATCACCTTGCAGCTTCTTTCAACGCCACAGCATAGCAGCCATCGCTCTGTATGGATGACTTGGAAGGACAGCTAGGGCAGTCTGGGAATGAATTCTAATGCTCCTCACCTGAAATGATCTCTTGTCAGGATCAAGATCATCCAGCACAGTCCGAGTTATCTCTCAGACCATTGAACGAGATTTGATATTGAGGATGCAATTTGTATCCTGCCCTCTTCCAACAGGCGAACCGGCAGAGGACTCTGCGCGGTGGCAGGCTGTCACGTCGCATCGGATGTGGTCTCGTTTTGGGTGGGGATCATACTTGCCAATGGCTTCTTCGCCTCGTTACTAGACTTCGCGACCTTGATCAGCCCATCGATCGTCGCTTAATTTTGAAGATTTTCTTCATTTTGTTCTTCGTATCTATCCGGCATTAAAACTAAACATACCATTGACTCAGCATATGGTATCCGCGTCGGAAGGTCTTGTGATTGGAATATAGGATATATGGTGAGGCATGAATGTAGAATTCGTTGGGATCAGAGACAGATATTATTCCTGGTGTACACTTTTTCGGTGAGGCAGGTACACGTCGTTCGTAGCTGAGAATCGAGATGAATTTTAGTCATTTGCCCAAGCTACCTCTTACCGAGTTCATCTCACAATATTGATGTTGAACATCGCAAGTTCCTCAATCACATGATAAATCTCGGGTAGCGAGGCTTCGATCGACAAAAACATTGCTACTGTAGGCTTCTGTGAAATCCACATGGTCAACTTTGAAAAGAGGATTAACAAAAAAAGAGTCCAAAAATTCGTCAAGGGTTTAAGCTTCCTCGGTGTGGCGTTCCCCCTTTCTTCCCCAGGATCTATTTAGCGGGGTAAAAACGGACCGGCCGAGGTCAACCACCGACACACTTGAGACAACACCAGATCCACGCTATGTGTTGCCCTTGTAAGCTGATAACATTCTTACATTTTCAATCCTTCATATAAATTGTAATCCTGCCTTCGATATTGTTTCATTCTTATTTTACATCTTGACGTCACGAATCCACGACAACCGAGTAATACGGAGTATTGTGGACCGTGCTTCAGACCACAGGCAAGATGACGACGACTGCTTTGAAAGTTGTTGGACCTCTCACTGCTCCTCTTCCGGATGGTCCAGTTGGGAATTATTATACCGAAGCACAATGGAAAACTTTAATGGCTTTGATGGATACGGTCATTCCGTCCATCAAGCGGGAATCAGCCGGATCGACATCCACCCTCGATGAAGAGCTCATCCCGGACACGTTATACTCCACAGCGGTCCATCAAGTCCAACGAGTGGTAAAAAATTCCCCAACAGAGGTCCAGATTGATGAATATCTAGCCGAGAAGCCAAGTGACAATCCGGAATTCCATGAATTGGTGAAGAGGACTTTGATGCAATACAGTCGAGAAGATGCTAGGAAGGGATTTTCGTTCTTACTAAGCGGGCTGAAGTAAGTTGCCATCAACGATCGTTGCCTGGTATTGACCCTGCTAGTACGAGACTTGGATCTCTCTTATTCACTTCTTCCATCACTTCTTTCCACGAGCAACCTATCCCTGCTCGAACTCAGATCCTTAACTCATGGAGGACATCTCGCATTCCTGCTCTGCAAGCTGCATATAAGCAAGTCACGTTCGTGGCCAAGAATCTCTGGATCAAGACCTCTCCAAGTTTCTATTCTGCTACAGGATTCCCTAAGGTTCCGGACCACTATCAGCCAGGACAGCACTTCGAGTATAAATTCGAGCAATTCGGCCAAGATGGATTTCAATCCGGACGAGGTGGCAAGGAAGACGGATCTGAGGTGTTTGAAACCGATGTCCTGATCGTTGGATCAGGATGTGGAGGAGCTGTTTGCGCCAAGAACCTTGCCGAGGCAGGTCATCAAGTCCTCGTAGTCGACAAGTCATACTACTTTACCCCTAGCCAGTTACCAATGTCCGAGAAGGATGGAGGGATTCATCTTTTTGTTGACGGTGGAGTTGTTTCGTCTGATGACGCTTCAATGTTTGTTCTCCTCCCTTCCTTCCAAACGTATGCTCACACAGTGCAGAACAGTGATTGCAGGCAGTAATTGGGGAGGTGGTGGAACCATCAATTGGTCTGCTTCACTTCAGCCTCAGTCATTTGTGCGAAAGGAATGGTCCAAAGATCGTGGCCTACCCCTGTTCACCTCGGCCGAGTTCCAAGCATCTCTGGACCGAGTTTGTGATCGAATGGGCGTCAGTGATAAACACATCCGCCACAACCATGGCAACGAGGTACTGATGGAAGGAGCACGACGTCTTGGTATGAGTTATAAAGCTGTGCCACAAAACACAGGAGGCAATGAACATTTCTGTGGTTATTGTACGCTTGGATGCGGAGCAGCAGAGAAACAGGGACCAGTTGTATCCTGGCTTCCAGACGCACAGCGAGCTGGTGCCAAATTCGCTGAAGGGTTCGACGTTGAGAAGGTTCTTTTCGAAACAATTGGTGGCAAGAAAACTGCCGTTGGAGTCAAGGGCAGGTGGACATCTCGTAACAAGAATGGTGGAGTGGATGGCCCTGACACTGCTCGAGTAACCGCTTCAGTCATCGTACGAGCGAAGCGAGTCATTATTTCGGCGGGGACACTAGCCTCTCCCATCATCCTCCAGAACAGCGGCCTGACTGTAAGTATCTTCCTCTCTGTGAGATTTGCACCTGACATCGCGTAGAACAAACACATTGGCCGCAACCTTTACCTTCACCCGGTGAACATTGTAGCTGCTGTATACCCAGAAGAGACTCGTCCCTGGGAAGGTGGTATTCTGACATCGGTCGTCGGATCACTTGAGAACCTCGATAATCATGGCCATGGGGCAAAGCTCGAAACGACGGTCATGATGCCCTCATGGTGTTTGACCTTCCTCAACTGGAACAACGGTCTGGACTGGAAGCTGCAAGCACTAAAATATCGACACATGAACTCTTTCATATCCATTGTACGAGACCGTGACACAGGACGAGTATACAAAGACCCTGATTCTGGATCAGCTAGAATCGAATATTCTCCAAGTGCTTTTGACCGAGCCCACGCGATGGAAGGTGTCCAGGCGTTGGCCAAGATCCAATTCGTGATGGGTGCAAGTGAAATTCATATCTGCATAGCTGGGACACCATCCTTCATCCGAGAAAGTCCCGGACAGAGCGAGAGCTCCGAGGAAATAACAGCTCGTTTCGATACATGGCTCGAGGATATCACGAAGATCGGGAATAAGCCACCAGCAGGAATCTTCGCTTCTGCTCATCAGATGGGTACTTGCCGCATGAGTAGACGAGCAAATATGGGGGTTGTCGATATGAAAGGCAAAGTCTGGGATACGGAGGGGCTGTATGTCTCCGATGCTTCTGTCTTTCCCTCTGCGAGTGGTGTGAATCCAATGATTACCAATATGGCAATCAGCGATTGGATCAGTAGGGAATTGAGTAAGGATATTGTGAAGGAGAAAATGCCTCCAATGGCTCGACTGTAGAAATTCTGAAACAATATGAATAGAAATGAAGGAACTGGCTGGGAGATGCCTGGATATATGTCATGGATATACAATGATTACTCAACCAAACTTTAGCCACCGAATAAGAATACCGAAAGTTAGAGCGTACGAGGCTAACACCAATCAGTAAAGAAGTGGTTTTCTGCAGGCATGTATTCTGGCGCGATTCATGGTCTATTGTCGAGGAACTTCACTACCTAGGCATGATAACAGTTTCTTGAAGTGCATATTATATCACGTGACATGCATTTCAACTTAATTTTGTTCTCAACATCCCGCTGTACGCGTTGTCCTAACACTTCACTTACAGCGCTCTTCTAGGCGCCAAACTCTCCCGAATGCATGCTGTAGCTTTAAACGTTATTCGCACGGCTCACAGACCAATATCGAGACGCGCCTGTCGAATTGTCGCCGGTTGCAGACATCCTCTTCCACATCGAGGCTTTCATCGATCACCGACCTCCTACCAAATCCCCGAAGACCCAGCAGCTCCTGGTACTGGGGGAAAAGCAGACCAGCCACCGAATAACGTAGAGCCAGAGTCGGAAGAGATAAAAGAGCAGGATGGAGAGGAGATAAAGCCAGAGATCGTCGATCTTGTAGCGCCGAAGGTGAAGAATCGAAGAACAACCTCTGGACGGCAAAGAGGCTTACTTCGCCAGAAACAGCCAGAGGGTCTGCCTCCCCTTGTACTACCAGAATGGTTTTGGACGAATAATGTCAAGTTGGCTGGCGACTCCAAGAAATTGAGCGGATCCCTTGCAGTTTATGGAGCTCTTGCATCAGGAGATCATGAGGGTGAAGATGGGGCCAAATTGAACGCCGAAATAGCCCGTCAAATTGTCGACATCTCCGATTGTGGCCTGGAAACTACCGAGTCAGCAAAGTACACAATACACGTGGATGTTTACAGAGAGATTCTAGCAACGTTACGCGCGGGTTTGTCTTTGCGCCCCCCAAAGAATTCTGGAAATCTTCCAGTGCCACGACCGGTAACTCTGTTGCAATGTCCCAAAGACGGGGGAACCTTCTATCTGGACTCAGTTATCGAAACAATAGCCTCGAAATTACATGCAGATCTCATTCGTTTGGATGCTCAGGACCTTGCCCAGATAGCTGGACCGTACGTAGAGGGAAATCTAGCGTGGCATTGGTCGGCAACGTCGATATTGGCATACAAAGCACACAAAGTGGCAGGGAAGTTAGAGGAGTATGACAAGGAACTGGAGGACGAGAATGACGATGTTGACGGAGCCGAAGAAGAAGAGGATGCTTCACCAACACCGAAAGCGAATGGGCGCATGAGTCTTTCTGATCTGCTCAAGGGAAACTTAAATGCTCGCTCCTTCATACCCACTGCGCCGAGAGGATTTCCCAAGCACTCAAATGGAAGTGGCAGCAATACCATTGGGGGCCATAAGTTCGACTTCGTCACAGCAATAGGAATGCCGGGTCCTGCACAGCAGCCAAGCTCTCAGCCAACAGATCAATGGAGTGAGCTGAAAATGACCAATTTAATGGACACGCTGGTTGATGCACCCAATGCTAGACCTGTGCCTTCAGGCTTTGATGCTTCTGTGAGCACATCGAGACCTTTGATTGTTCAGGTCAGAGATTACAAGGAACTGCTTGGAGTTACAGAAGGCGCAGATTTGCTTTACAAGTTGAGGACAGCTATCAACAAGAAATGGCAGGAAGGAAGGGATATAATCCTAGTTGGAACCACATCATCTGAGGAGGGAGAACCAGCTCTATCCCGGCCCGATATCCAGCACCTCCAATCTGATATTGTCGATGGTGAGAAACGGACAATCTTTGTCCCTCCGGATCGTAGGGAGCATCAAGATATTGCGTTTGAGACGGACGAGAAGGCTCGCATTCGAAGCATCAACGTCCGAAATGTTGAGGAAATGATCTTGAAATTAGTCGATGGAACTGACCACATGACACCGGAGCTTAACATCGAGAAGGATATCGACAGTGCCACTGTTTTCTCTGCCGGATTGGAGGACGCTGTTTGGACATATGCTCGTGTTCACAGGACAGCAATGACGATCCTAGGATTGGAGAACAACATCACAAGCATTGACGGAGCTGTCTTCAGCAAGGCACTGAAGGTACTTTCCGCAAGTGACCAAGCTAAATTCGCATGGGGAGCCGCCGAGTTGAAGTCGGAAGATGACGAGGTGGAGTTGATGCTTAGTGAAAGCGATTTAGCGGCTGCTGAAAAGAAGAAGTCCAAGGAGAAATTAAAGGAGATCCGAAAGAAGTGCAATCAGCAAGAGGCGAAACTCCTCAATGGTGTTGTCCTCGCTTCTGACATCCGCACCACGTTTGGAGATATTCGAGCTCCCAAGGAAACAGTCGAAGCTCTAAAGACACTGACAAGTCTGTCTTTGATTCGTCCAGAAGCGTTCTCTTATGGAGTCCTTGCAACAGACAAAATCCCAGGATTACTTCTTTACGGCCCCCCTGGAACTGGAAAGACACTCCTGGCAAAAGCCGTTGCAAAGGAAAGCGGAGCAACTGTCCTAGAGGTTACCGCTGCCGATCTAAACGACATGTTCGTTGGCCAAGGCGAGAAGAACATCCGCGCAGTCTTTACTTTGGCCAAGAAATTATCTCCCTGCGTCGTGTTCATCGATGAAGCAGATGCCATCTTCTCTGCTCGTGGTGAACACAACCGAAACGCGCACCGCGAAATGATCAACCAATTTCTCCGAGAATGGGATGGAATGAACGACTTTTCAGCTTTCATAATGGTCGCCACAAATCGGCCATTTGATCTTGACGAAGCCGTACTTCGACGTCTCCCTCGTCGCCTACTTGTCGATCTACCAGTCGAGAAAGACCGCGAGGCTATCCTCAAGATTCACCTCAAAGACGAGATCTTGGACGATTCCGTCTCACTCGCGACACTCGCCAAGGACACACCCTTCTACTCCGGCTCCGATCTCAAGAATCTCTCCGTCGCGGCAGCTCTAGCATGTATTCGCGAAGAGAACGCCATTGCAGCACAGCACTCTGGAGATGAGCCATACGTCTACCCCGAGAAGCGTATCCTCACCAAGACGCACTTTGACAAAGCCATGGAGGAGATTAGTGCCTCGATCAGCGAGGATATGAGTACGTTGACGGCTATCAGGAAGTTCGATGAGAAGTATGGCGATCGTAAGGGTAGGAAGAAGAAGGGTCCTGGTATGGGCTTTGGCGGAACCACAATAGCCGAGAAGGATTCAGAGGCAGCAAGAGTGAGGAAGATGGGGCTTTAAACTTAGCTGGCAGCATTATAGGCGTATGGATTAGAATTAGCTAGCATATTCTGGCAGGGTGCATTCTTGTATATCTTTGTAATAGTAGATAGAACATCGAGAAGGTTACAGGGTTGATTCATAATATGATACTTTACCCGGCTTTGTTAAGTAAGCAGGCCTCATGCTAAGCGAGACTATTCGACCAAGAACATCAACCTCAGATTAATCCGACCATCAGTAATAGTTTTGTCCCAGCATATGGCAGGCCGTACCAGCCTCCGGACTACAGAATGACGACCGACTCTCGTATTCTTCTCATCGGCAAAGAGGGATCGGGAAGGGATGCACTTTGCACTCGAGTAGGGATGAGTCTTCTCCGTTTCCCAAGACCTCACCAACTGATCATACACAGCTCAGGACAGGACGATACATAACCCCTCCTCCTATGACAGAATATGACCCTACTCTCATGGAACCAATGACCAAATGGGAAAGCATTATCGATGGCAACAAATGTACCATCGAAGCCATCATTGCTGGCACAGGAGATCTCGACGACCATTTCGTAAAAGGCACTCTGCTCGGGCGGGGTATTCACGGCGCGGTTGTGACATGGGATGTCACGTTACGAGAACAGTTCGCCTCTATCGAGGACCAGGTCTTGGAAGTCAAGAAACTAGGCACGGAACACTTGCCAGGGGGAGTGGTTTATCCAGTTGTAGTGGCGTTCACGAAGATGGATCTTATTGATGGGAATGACAGTATTGGAATGGGGGACGACTTCGTGGCAAAACTGGGCTTGACAGGATATTTCAACACAAGTGCTGTGAGTGGCGATGGCGTTGACGAGCCATTTTCAAGTGTGGTAAGGGAGGTATGGAGGAGAGACGGGTATCCGGCCAGAGAGGAAGTGCCTATCCCAGTATCTCGTAAGGGGAGGGAAGATGTACCGCCAACCAAAGGCGATTGGTCTGTCAACTTGAAGGCAAAGCTTCGCAAAATACTATCTTGATTAAGGAAAATCCATTTGATACACAAGATCAATCATGACTCTCCATTCTACGTACACCCATTCCTTCGAAGCCCTTTTCATTCGACTAGAATATCGTTCTTATACCCCGCCATCAACAGACCGGAATATCACATACATACTGTTTGATCAACGAACAAGCCAAACTCTGGATTGGGGCCGCCTGTCCGTTGCAACCTGAGTGAACATCCAAGGGCCTGGTGGAGAAAGTCCAACCAGTTGCAGTGCACTTGCCGGTCTTTCCTCCACCCGAAACACTCAGACCTGACCCGAAGGTCTGTTGTACATTACATACTTTGAATGTTGCACCAGACGAGGGTCCACCAGTGCCAGGTCCGCTAAGGAAACTGTTTTGACTGGAACAGAAGTCTGGGTTGTTTACTTTGAGAGCCGCATAAAGGTAAATAAAAGTCTCTCCTGTACACATCCACTGATATATATCATAGGTGTTTGTTGCGGGCTGTGGCTCGGGGGCTTGTGTTGAAATTGTGACTGGTGGCTTCGTTGTGGCTGGGGGTTTAATTGTCGACGAGGCTTTAGACGTTATGGGATTGCTTGGATTGAGAGGATCGAGCTGCTAAAGTCAGGATTCGGTTCTCTTCTGCACAATACGAACTTGACAGCTTACAAAGTCAGGATTTGAATTGCCACATGTACCCGAGCAGGGCGCACTGCAGCATGGCCCACTGGAACAAAACGTCCCACAGGAGCTTCCAGCGGCGCGAATCTTTCATCTGGGTGGAAGTCGGTACAGGATAAGTGCGTCCGCCGTAGATGAACCAGAAATCAGTAGACTTGGATTGTCCCACTGTAATACTCTTACCACCGGGGATTGATGTTGTGTATGTTTGAGACAAGACTGTAATGCGCCCTCCATTAACACTGAAATAGCCCAAATATCCGCCGCTTTGACCAGGAGACGGAGCTGACCCGGCAGACCATGGGTACGGGGGTGGATGGATAGTCCTTGTAACTGGAGGTGCGGTGATACCTGGTGGATAGACATTTGTGATGATGATTGGAGGTGGCGAATACTTGTCGTTGGGTACAAGACCGAGCCGGGTCTAGATTCAGTCACGACAACATTCCAGAACGAAATGACGCTGACAACCACGTCCGGAATCGAGAGCGTTGTCGTGGTCGTTGTCCCTGTAAATTTGCCATTTGATACCCATCCTACCTCAAGGCTTGTGACAAAAAGTGGAAATTTGATCGTGGTAGGTGAAGGCAAGGTGGAAGGGGGAAGCACCAAGACGGCTGGGACAGGGCCATAGACCGGGCTGCCAAACGAGGGGTTCCAGACAATAGGATCCACGTAGACCACGGTAGCGTTTGTCTGGGTACACGCTCCTGGAGGGCAGTATCCCCGACTGCATGTGAAATCGCAAAGTTCCGCGTACAAGTTGGTGTCCAGTCCTGGGAGAGCGTACCCAGGTCCTGAAGTCTTCGGTGTAGCAGCCACCTGAGGTCCTCTAACCAAACATTTGCATGCCAAAGGGGGACAAACACCGTACCCACAAGAATAAGAACAGATACCACCGAGATTGCCTTCACCAACGCCCTCGACGCAAGCTTGTACTGCCGGAACAGTACTCTGGCAGGGAGGACTTGGCAATGGAGAATATCCCCAAGTGTTAGCGAACTTGTATAAATCTCCATAGACTGCCATGCTCTTGCCTTCCATTGGTATGCCTTTGTCTCCTTTATAGGCTGTAAGTTTGCCAAGTGCGCCTTGGGATGTGCAAGTACAAGCAATAATGGGACAGTACCCTAAGCTCAAGTCAGCATAGGACTACCGGAGGCATCAACATCGCTTACCGTATCCACAACCGAAACCACAAAGGCCTGCAAGATCTCCCGTTCCAGAACCTCCCGTGCAAGCCTTGGGAAGAAAAGGGGAAATGATCGGAGTAGAGAGAGGCTGTTTAGTATACCCACAGATATCTAATGGACAGTAGCCTGTACCATGGCAGTAATTAATCTTGCATACAATTGATCTTTTGAAATCTTACCATAGTTGCAAACAAAGTCACAGAGACCTTCATAACTAGCACTCTTCCCAGCGACTGGATATGCAAGAACGTTTCGGGACGATGGCCTTGGGACTGGCTTTCCCATTTGAGTGCAATAACATGCTCCTACAGGGCAATAGCCATAGGAGCAAGCAAATTCGCAAAGTCCTTTGAAGTCATTGGCACCAGTACCTGCGACACAAACCTGGTTGTTTGATTTGAGAGTTGGGGTGGCTGAGATTGCATTGCCAACCGCACCGCCAACTCAAGCATTCCAGTTCTGAATCTTGTTCATACAAGCGGTGGTGATAGTTCCGCCACTTACTGTATACGTTACTTTGGGTGTCTTGAGAGTGACAATCACGGCACCAGTGGCTCCTGCTTGGTATTAGCGGGGTACGATATGCAATGACATGCATCCTACCGGCCATAGAAACATTTCCATGATAAATGCCAACACCATCCCATGGCTTCTTCGCCCAAGTCCCAACAGCCTGCTTACCACCAATGCTGACCGTCACTGTGACACCTGTGGCAGAGCCGAGCATTGCAGAATAGAAGACCTTGTCTGGAGTCGATCAAGTAAAGTTAGCAAAGGACATCGTTTATGAGTACTCCGTACCATGAGCTGGTTCTCATGATATACACTGACCTTGTGCTATCTGTCCTGGTGGAAACTCGACTTGAAATTGTGTATGAGTGTTTCCAGAAGTACCACCACTGGAACACGGACTTCCCGCAACTGGATTCCGCCGAAACCAGGCTGTGATTCCTTCTTGTGTGACAGTCGAGATGTTGTTCTTGTATGTATCAATCACGTATGGAAGGAACTGCCTCCAGGCATCGTGCGGCATGCCACTGACATAATTGTATGGCGAATTTCCGGCCTTTGGCCCGAAAACATCCATTTCATTCATATGTAATGGACCGATATAATGCGATTCTCCCCAATCATTCCACTAGATTTTCAGGTTCAGTATCTGTCATAATATCAAGGAGGTACAAGTCAATTAATACTCACGGTGATGATTTGGACAAATTCGGGTTGAAGATACTTGACCTGCTCCCACCGGTCGTACCACAAGGAATCACCTCTCCACATCCAATTCTTCTCAAAGCCAGGCATGTTGGTGAAGAACCATGGTGAAACAGGCATCATGTAATGCGAGAAATCGCTCCCATCTCCACCAAAGACATTATCAAGGAATTCACCATACGAGGCATCGACATAGGTATCCATATCTCTTGGACCCCATGGCCATCCAGCCCAACCTTGTCATCGATTAGCTGCAGTCAATAGCTGAAAGAGTCTTCCACAATTACTGAAAAGACCATCTACAATGCCAGCTCCGATAGAAAGAGCGTCTTTGCACCCTTGGACGACCAATCAGGCACAAAGTGGCAACCAGTAGAAGCTTTGATCGTCTTCCAATCGGCTGCAGAATCCGGACCTTCAAAAGTCGAAACGAACGGCTTCCCATTGTACCGATAATAGGATGGCCTTCCTGCGTAATCATTGATGTACTTGATCACGGATTCTTTGGGGAACGTGCAATTGGCAGCGTAATCAAAAGAGAAGAAGAGGCCGAATTTGAGTTTATCAGCTGCTGCGAACGCGGCTGGTAGGGCAATATCAGTGGTAGCCTCGTTTCGAGCAAAGTTCATAGCAAATGCATCAATATGTGCAGCTTTGGCGGCATTGATATCGCTTTCCCAGTCCGCGGCTGTGTACTTTCCGCTGTTCGACACCTTTTAAACGTGGTCAATGTAGGCTCGATTACAGACTTCCAAGTAGCTTACCATAAAGTGGGCAAACACCGCTTTTGCACTCACTTGAGTCGAGCACAGTTGTGACACAAGTGTCGCTGCAATGAAGAAGAACCTCATGTTGAAGCTCAACATCAATATTCTGGAGCAACGTCGAGATGTTCATCTCCGGCCTGGATATCAGTGCAGATATCTGCACTTTTAAGGATATATCGATTGGAAACCGGTGGCACAAGAACTGCTCCCAAACTTCAACAGCAGGAGAGACTATTTTGAGCGATGCTAGACGAAGCCACGATGCATCTCTTCCAAGGGTAAATGCACGAACAATCAATTAAGCGAGTGCGGTAGGAGATACAAAGATTCAGGCCCCTGGGCACCCATTCACCTCTTTGGTGGGATCTGATAGATGACCGAGGACGATGAGAGCTTTGGGAGTTGGCTGATGCATGGGCTGCCTTGGGTGAAATTGCAGTTCTTGATATGAATGGTTCCCTCGCCATATCATCTTAGCGTTTCCCCTAGAGATTCGAATGTGAATGAAGCAATACGGAACGTAATTCTGAAAATGTAGACGCAATCTTTGTCGGCAGATCAGCCATCCGGGCGAGCTAGAGAGACGAGGTGCATGTATTTTGTAGCAAAAAGCTAACCGCCATCAACAATTTAAGTATCGCCTTCACCTATCGTAGAGCCTGCCAGTGGTAACTGGGATTCGCCGCTACTCATGCACATCGTGTCTCGCAAAAAGTTCCAAAGACAGCTCGTGAAATACCTAATGAGGACCTTTGACGGACCCGAAGCTCGGGCCCGAAACGGAAGACTCTGATTCCTGATGCTGCAGGCGAGTTAGGGGTTGCTGCAAAGTCTGCATCCACTATCACACCATGTCCTACCATGAATGGTCAGCAAGATCTGGATCAATTATGGTTAAAAGTAGCCCGTTGATAGAACCCGGCTGGACGAGATTGCCAAGCATATAGGGCACAGATACGCCTCTCTCCCGCTTGGTGCTACTCTCTTTTCGGGGCTTACCCCGTGAAGAGCTCTGAGTCTGGAGACAAGAAAAGCACACTGAATCTTCAAAGAGATAAAGACCGAGGTCATGGGGTATTAAAGATATACCGGAGTGCTACACTCGACTTACAGTGCAGCTGTTGCACTTGGACCCTCGTGCCTTGGAGCTTGGCATTCTCCGAATTTTGAATCGAGTATTGTCAGGATCAAAATAGACGCAGAAAGCCACTAAGCTGTCGCACAGCACTTTGAACGCCTCCTTTCATTCAAAGGGAGAAACAACCAATGATGAGTTCCAGTTCGGTTAAGGAACTCGCAGTACATTCTTGCGGTAACTGCTTGCTGTGGACGGAATTCGAGTATGCTCATACACAACGAATGCACCTCGTCTCACGACTGGAACAGCTGGGCCAGAGTAAGGTAAATGCGTGCACTAGCATCACGGCCATGATTGCTGAGCACGTCTGCCCTAGCAAAATAGGCCCTCCACCCAATCTGTCAGGTCGAGTCTGAGTGTCATCGACAGCGTGTCCGTCTTCCCTCTGATAATCAGTTGCATGACATCGTGACTGTAAGGTGGCGAAGCATGGGGCTGCATTCGCCGTCGAGCATTTATTATTTGTACGCAGCTGGTATCGACGGGCTCTTCAAGGCTCCTCGGTATCCCCCTTTCCACTCCTCACAATGAAGAATTTCCCTCCGGGCGTCTTGACCTTCTCTGATGCTGTCTTCGTTACATTCCAGTCTTCCACACCCTTCGTGTCAACCTCTTCACCCCTCCGTCTTTTCGGCCTCCTATTCCTCCCCTTAATATCTTCCTTCCCCAGCGCCTCCCTCAATGTCTCCAAGCCAATCGTAATGTCCTCGATGCCCTCCTCAGTTTCGTCCCTGAGACTCTGCAGTGGCTCTACGCCCTCTGTATCCACATTCTGAATATCCCGTACGAAATGTAATTGGGAATGTAGTGTTGCTAGCATAGATGCCTCTTCTTCTGGGCTCTTCGGAAGGGGTAACGCGGAGAGCCGGAGTAGATGGTGTAACTTCTGTGGTGTGATTTCTGCAGAGGGAGGTGTTGAATCGGAGGGAACGAGTGATCGGACGGACCAAGTTGGTTTAGAAAGGAGTGCAGCGATATCAAGTGGTGCTTTTGGAGCTGCTTCTGAGCTATATTTTCGCGCGGAAAGAGGGCGACTGCTTCGCAGACCTCGTCTGATCGCTGTTTGACAGCCTTTACATATATAATTGGACATTTCGAACGATCAATTGGCCTGCTTAAATTAGTACTGGATTGAACTGTGGATGCGTTAAAAGACTGACTACTTCTGAGAGATGTGTCCAGTCCATTTGCTTTGATGCAGTGATGCTATGTTTTCAAGGGTTTGCGGTGATAAATCGATGCAGGTATGGTCAATTAATCACTGGGATATCGGTAGATATCAAGATCAATGAAGAGTAAAGAAAGCTGTGTTGATGAATGAGGCAAGGTAAATATGGCGAGGCTGAAATCTTGGCACCTTCAAACTGTTGACGAATGGCGCTAGTCCATTGTGAAGGCAACGGACTCGTCAGAGCTCCCCAGGTCCAACTCCTGCCACATGTGACTCTCGAAACACCAAGGAGAATCGCATAACTCGTTACAACTCTATCGCAACTATCCGATATAATCAAACAATCCGCGAACATGGCACAAGATCCCAGAGCACTGCTGCAAAAGGTAAGGCTTCCCCATTACTACCCCGCCATTCCTATCTCGATAAGCTCTAACATCTTTGCAGGCAGACAAAGCAGCTTCCGGTGCTGGAGGAGGATTTAGTTTGTTTGGAGGGAGACAGGAGAAGTGGGAGAATGCCGCGGATCTGTATACACAAGCTGCGAATGCATTCCGCATGCAGAAACTCAGTACGTTTCAGTATTCATGTTGGTTCCGGAGAATGGTCTTGGGTCTTTGCATCATGAAAGATAGCTGTTACTCTTGGACGACGAAATGGCCACTGTTCGAGTCCACACTTTTCATTGGGAGGGAAATCCAGATCTGAACCGTACCTAACCTACATCCGCCCACAGATAAAGAAGCTGGTCAAGCCTTCGAGAAAGCAGCGAACATCCAAACGAACAACCTCAAGGAGCCAGATGATGCAGCAAATACACTCACAGAAGCCTTTAAGGTATACCGAAAGTCTGACCCACTAGACGCCGCTAGATGTCTAGATGTTGCGATCAATCACTACACAATGAAAGGTAACTTCCGACGGGCAGCTACACACAAGCAGAATCTGGCGGAGGTGTACGAGACGGAGATTGGAGATCAGAAGAAGGCCATTGAGAGCTACGAGTTGGCTGCTAGTTGGTTTGAGAATGATAATGCGGAGGCGTAAGTTCTTGCCCAAAACCTTTCTCATAAACATGAATACTGACTGTGATTCTTAGTCTGGCAAACAAACTCTACCTCAAGGTCGCAGACCTCGCAGCCCTAGAAAGCGACTACTACAAAGCTATCGAGCAGTACGAGAAGGTCGCTGCCTCATCCGTATCCAACAATCTCATGAAATGGTCCGTAAAAGACTACTTCCTCAAGGCCGGCCTTTGCCACCTTGCATCCGGCGACCAAGTAGCCACCAAGCGAGCCCTCGACAAGTACAGCGATATGGATCCTACGTTCCCCAGTCAGCGCGAGAGTCAATTGTTAGTGGATCTGTATGAGGCGGTGGAAGCCGGTGACCAAGAAGCATTTGCGGATAAGCTGTTTCAGTATGATCAGATGAGCAAGCTGGATAAGTGGAAGACGGTTATTTTGTTGAGGATCAAGAATGCCATCGAGGAGAAGGGAGAGGACTTCTCGTGATTGTATGCTACTTTAGAGGGGTAGTAGGCGTTTTTCTTTTGAGTTATGGGTGGAACGACATATTTTGCGAGATCTTCATGCAGTGCATATGACAGACTGGCAAGATTTCTATTAAGCACAATGTGGGAGTCTGGATGCCGTTGCCGAAAGGCACATATAATGTCCTCTGTCAACAGACGTATCATCGTTCTATGTCGCTATGCGTAAATATCGCTACATCATTACCCGTGTTCATAATCAGAGAGTCATCTCAAAACTTCAACATGCCCCCAGCCTTTTGCATGAAAGTCTGCTCCTCTTTCTTCCCAGCCTTCTCACCATCCTTACCCACCTGCCCCTTCTTAACTTCCTCTTCTAACCTCTTCACTTCCTCCTCAGGACCCATGTCATCTTTTCCTTTCTTCTCCTCTTCTTTCTTCTCTTCCTCCTCCAATAATGCCAACGTTTCCTCCTCCCTAGCAACCTCTTCCGTATCCACATCCTCAAACCCAATCTTCTCAAGTATCGAGCCCACAAGGTACTGATACCTCAAATGTCCACTGACCATCTCCGAAACATTGACATTCTCAATCCCCTTCACATCTTGCGCTTCCTGTAGACCAGCAACGCCGTATTGGATACTGCTCGTGCGGTACAGAAACGCGAGGATGTAGTCGTTCTCGGAGTAGACATTTACGAGGCGACCAGAGACAACACTACGCATCGAGCGCCAGACTGCTGCGTCTGATGGGGCAGGCGCACCGATCAAGACAGCTGATTCAACGAGGCTGAATGCTCGTCGTTCAGCGAGACTCATCAGGCAAGAGTATATCAGTCTCGCGCCCAGACTGTATCCAATAAGTGTGACGGGCCGCTCCCCCTGCGCTTTATTAATCAAGGCATCAGCTAGTACAAGGCCAGCTTTATCCGCGCGATTCTTCGCTACGGAAAAGGGATTGTCGACAATCTTCGAGATTTTGAGAAGACCAATAGGCCATAGTGCTGTCATGAGACTTGCGAAGATAGTCCGTGAGATGATCTCTTTCTTGGCGACGGACCATGCTGCGCTTTTGACGACAGATTCCAGAGAACTGCCGAGCTTGGTGAGTGCATCGAGTTCCCACCGGAGGGCGAAGACTTCGCTTTGCCGGCCGAGGGCACGCCACGGGATGATGATGTCTTCGCGCTGGGTGAGCCACCCACTGATACCTATTGTGACGCGGAGACGGCGGTCTTCTGGTTTTGGATCGTGGTGTTTGCTGCCTTTGAGGGGGAGAAAGGCGAAATCTTCAACTTCTTTGGCGTAAGCGTCCATCATTTTACCGGTCATTCGACCACCGTAGGCCCCAAACAGACTGCCCACAATGACGCCACTTTCAGCTAGGGCTCCCAGGAGACCTGCTGCTGTAGTGGCTCCTAGACCTAGACCGCCGAATATGGTTCCTAGGGCACCTGCAACGAGAGGAGCAGCGAGACCGCCAGTAATACCAATGACTGCTGCGCCAGCGACGCCTGCAAGACCAACTTTCCATCTTCGTGCTGATTTGTTTTCATCGCTTCGCTTCTGCGTCTCGTCGCTACCAGACATATGTTTGGCTGCTTCGAGGAGGCCTTGAGCTACTTTTACTTCATGCTCAGCTAGGATGTGTAGAGGAAGGTGGAGGGATGAGGAGATATGAAGGAGGAGGATGCGTGAGGGTGCTACGTAGTGCTCCAGTGAGAGGAGAAGTAAGAGCATTGCGTTGAGGAGGAGGATTCGCTTGTCTTTTGCCAGGGAGTAAAGTGATGTTGAGGTGGGTGGGTATAATTCGACTAACGCAGCATCTGCTTCTTCGATGTTTGTGTTTGAGCCTGTACCCTCAGATCTCAATACAAAGCAGGAGGAGGTAACGACTTACTGATAACCTTGGTCTCAGTAGGCGGTTCATCTTTCGTTGCCTCGACAGAAGCCTTATCCTTCTGCTCTTCAACAACCTCCTTCGAGTTATTAACGGCTATTCCAACCCTCGAAATTACAGATTCTCGCCAATGATCAAAAAACTTCAGGGAATCCTCCTTCAGTTCCAACATCTTGGGAGCAGAAAGTTCCTTCTCTCTTTGCACACGCAATTTTCTAGCATTGACCTCTTCCTCGGTCTCCTTTTCTGGCTTCGTGTCATCGACATTGGGATTCTTATCGGTGAGGTTCAACGCCTGCTGTGGTGGTTGTGCACTTGTAATTGACGCGTCAAAGGTATCTGTGATTTGCTTTCTCATAAGCTCTGTGATATTCGCCAGTAGTAAGGTCAACTCGACTCTTTCTTCTGAGGATAGGATTGAACTAAGATCTTCTCCCTGCTTTTGAGGAGAGTCTGCCTTCTCTTCTGAAGAAGCCATTTTATTTGTAGTGGGATGTTGTTTTTATAAAATCCAACTTCACCAACACCAGTGGTTGAAGGAGATGGAGGGGCAGTCGAAGCCACCACAAGCTATGACGAAATGTGTCGCAGGTCTCAAATCTATGATCGTCTTCCGGCCCGTGCTCAACTGCGGGAGCATGATATCACGTGATACCGTGTATCCCAATCCTCTACGAGCTTCCAAAGTCGATATCAAGAGAGAATTATCAGGTATTTTCGTATGCGCAGCGCCTAAAAGGGATGTTTGCAACCAGGTATCATTCATACCTACAAGAAACGGGATTGAGGCATCGGCTACGATCAGCGTTCAGCCAAACCCACTTGTCATCGCACTTTTCCTTCTGAAGAGTGTACACAGAGTAAACATAGTCGAATATAAACCAATACTGGATTGATGATCTCATGATTGATTGGTAGCCCTGTTGGCTTTTATATATGTATAGTTACCAGCGCCGAACTACGGTGACTGATACACAAAAGAGAAGCACAACATGAACAGAGATGACCGGAACTCAAGTGATGTCAGAAAACGTGAAGCTAAAAGGAGACAATATCGCAATGGATCTTGAAGAATAACATGATCGAGCAGCCAGGTGCCAGCCCAAGGATTCTTGAACTAAGTCCATGGTCGATTGTTAACGTGCCTTCGATTTTGACGGAGCCTATCCATTGCCATGCTTTTTGGACGTCCCAATTCTATGCCTCCATGTGAAACTTGGCAGAAGTTGTTGAAGAACTGTGTCCATCATTCTGCTTCACAACAGTGCAGGCTGGTAGCCACAATTGGCTTGTGACTGGCGTATTCACAGCAATACGACGTCGCCTCCGGGCTAGGAGCTCCTGGACTCGTGGTATGGCCATTGCTCTTCAAGGCTTGTCCTTTGGTGTCTCCTGGCCCGTCTTCGCAGAATCGTTCGGGGTCGGCTTGTTCACTTCCTTCGTCCAAAGGCTCATGTTTGGCCACCAAGAGCTCGCCTTCTCCACAGGCTTCAGAGCAGACTCCGTTGCAATTGTTCGACTCGCTGCTGCTTCCGCATCCCGTAAATCTTCTGGGGTCTTGTGGTTACCATCCTGAGATAGCCTTGCGACTTCTACCGCTTTCCTATAGACAGCATTGGCAACTGGACCACTGTCCTGGAGGATGGGGGCTGTACCTTGCCTGCTCCTCTTTCTCCTGTCGCTGTTCCTTGAAAGCTGGACCAAATATATATAACCCTGGTTGCATGAGCCCTTGAGTCACCAAATGGGTGCTTTGCTACTGTGTACCATTACCAATACCAATGGCCGTGGCCAGAAGGACTGGGACGGCCCCGCGGAATCTGCTCATGTCTCTGCGTTGAATTGTGTGCTATTCAATTGACCCCAAGGTTGTCTTCGGAGTATCGATCCACCAAGTCAGTGGTTGCTGACAAATCAGTCGCGTCTCCGTTCACAAACGAACGCGTCAAGGAACAACCAAAAAGTTCACGCCGCCTCTCAAATCCAGAACGGCTTGTTCAGACGCATTTCAGCATGCTCTGATTATGCAATACCATTCCTATGGCATCTTGGAAGGAGAAAGGGGTGGTTCCAGACTCAGACGACGAAGATGGGCTAGATAGCCAAAGCACATCAAATATCGGACGTGATCTGGAGGGGTCTTCAGGTGGAAATGACGGCTTGGGAGACATTGAAAATAAGGCAGATGGCGATGATGACGAGAATGTTCAGGAGAATGAGGATCGAGGTTCTTCCCAAGTTGCACTTATCGACCCCGAACCTACGGTTCAACATAGTTCTATGCCGCTCTTCACAGAAGCCTCCACCAACCGATCCAAGACACCCAGCTTGCCACTCTCGATATCGCACTCCCCGAAAAGATTCAAGGATCCACGAGTATACTGGGCTTCAGACGAAGAGGATACACCACTAGTCAAACAGAATGCTTCATCACGGCCAAGAAACGGGGTTCGAGAGGAGGAGGAAATATCCAAGAGCTATGTTCAAATCACGTCTACAACTTCAACTCAACTCTCTTCTCCACCAAACAGCGAGCCAAAACTACCACAGCACGCCGCTTTAAATAAACAGAGGAGGATTTCAAAGTCCCCAGAACCAGACATAGCTTCCCGAAGTCCCATTGTGGGTGACAGACTTGAACCTGAGACAGAACCGCCTACCAGCACAGCAAGACGCTCACTCCGACAAAGGAATCCAATCCAGTTGCATCCGTATGCAATGGAACACGAGAGATACCGGAGAACTCTACAGTCTAGAGGTATTGCACCGATGCGAATAGTCTCGTCGTCCCACGAACACTCACGGCGACGCTCTCGAAGCTCCTCACCAGTCTCTGAATCTCAAGATATGGATTATGATGTCGGAGAGAGTCAGCAGAACGACATGGACTGGGATCCACCATCTTCTCCACCTCGACCTGCAGCGAACTTCGAGGACGTCGCCATGAACGAAAATGTACAGCAAAAAGACATTGACGAGGAGGAAGAATTTCCCGATATTGATCAATTAATACAGCATCCACCACAACTACCTAGAAAGCCTGAACGAAAACCACAACTACCCCCACAGCCAAAAGCTAAGCATCGACTCAATACGTACTCGTTGAAGTTCAAACGTCCTGGATTGTCGAGAATTCGGACCCAACCAGCCCCTCAAACCAAACAGAGAGACATCACGAACAGTATCTTTGATGTTCCTGCATCACCACCCACAACTAGTTCACCATTCGCAGCCCCTTCTCGCCATGTTCGAGCCTCCATTTCCCGTGCTGGATCAACTTCAAAGGAACAATCACCAAGCACTTCTCCAGCTGAATCTCTCTTGCTTCCTGGGGACCTTCCAACTCCAGCTACCAGTGCCGTCAAGCCTGTGCCAGCTATGCTTGATTCGGACGTAGAGCTTGATGACCCTTTTGCATCAGAAGTCGAAAAATCTGCTTCCGAGTCCGCGTCAGATGAGTCCATTACGATTCGCAAGATTAGCAAAAAGATTCGAGGTGTTCTCCCTGCTTCACATCTACGGTTGGACCAGAGGAAGCTCCTGAAACCAGTCGTCCATGCGTTACGGGACAGCGAGAGTTTATCTCCTGTCAAGGAGCCCTCCCGGCGTGGAGTTGCACTTCCTCGAATGCGTCAAGGCTCGCAGAGCCCACCAGCATCAACAAATGCTAGGCTGGCGTTTCTCTCTGATTCAGGAGAAGACGACGAGGAGGATGAGCCGGGATTCGTCATGGCAGATGACCCTTTTGAGCTTGAGAGTGTTTTCGATCAATCGCGCTTAGGTTTTGCCGATGAGGACGACAAGATCGATGCCATGTTACCTTCGAAAAAGCGAGTATCTACTGGTTCGTCTCGTCCACGTAAGAAGAGAAAGAGTGGATCTGGATTGAGTGTTCGTACCGGAAGCGGCTCATATAAACAACAACCTAAAATCACCGATCATTTACATAAGCCCAAGAGTCGTTCGTCCATTGGAAAGTCTGCAAGCCGAGACAGAAAAACATCTCGTAGATATGGACGCAGTGTATCTCGTCCCAGAAAGCCTGCTCCGCCACGCCTCGGTATTCTCGATGTGATGACTCCAGTGGGCCGTAAAGAACGAGATCTACCGCAATTCATAAGAGTTGCAGCTCGTACTGCGAGGTCTCGCGTAGGGCAGGGACGCCAAAGTCCTTCGAGGAAGTTCATTCGTCTGGCGAATCGTGAGGACACCCAGGATGTTCAATCGGTATTGCAGGATTGGAGGGAAGGAAAGATTGCTCCGAGGAATCGCCCTTCTCAGCCAAGACGCTCCATGGGAGTACCTATCTCGGCACTTCATGAAATAACAGACAATCAACAGACCAGACTCCCAGCGCCAATCATCACGAGTATGCTGCAGCAAAGCAGGGAGCCGGCCAGGACAGGACGTAAACTGGCAATCTCCAGGCGTCAACAGACGATAAACAGCTTCGTCACAAGGGAAACACCCTCCATTCAAGGAACTACAACCTCTGTAAGGCAAAACACGGACGCCAACCTTGGGCCAATAGGCCGAGCAAAAGCATCCCGTGGCGCTCAACGGCCAGTACGACCTGCGCAGCTCGAATCAACCAAGATTCCATACTCAGACCGGTATTCTGCCTCAGAGTTTAGAAGTACTAAGCGACTCCTTGATTCTCTTTACAGAAGCACCCGACGACGAACTGCTCCGGAGACAAATCTGCAATTGAGCCGATTTCTTGCTGACGATGACATTGTCCGCCCATCTACAGAGATAAATCAGGACCCAGTACACAGCGAAGAAGACGGAATCGAGCTTGTTCATTACTCAGCGAAACAGACCCGACGAAAGCAGAGTGTGCCTCGGCGAGTCGACGCAGGTGCTGCGAATTACCGCCAACCCAGTAATCCCTTGATATTAGACTATTTTGCTCCGACAGAAGCGAATGCCAACGAGAATAGCAAGTTGCTGGGTTTGGGCAAGTTCGGCACGAACTATCCAGTCCACTTCGATATTTCTCCCTTGCAATCGGGAATATTCTTCCATGAACACACGATCATCGGAAGTGGTAGGCTTGCCGACCTTCTCAGCAATTCCAGTTCCCAGAGCCTTCCACCGCCGACTCCCACAAGTCTCAGGTTTGCAGAGAAAGTTTTCAAGTGGAGGACGTGGGATGAGAATGTGTCGTCGGAAATCGGTGTTTGTTTCGACTGGCTCTTGGATCAGTTACAATCCCAGCGCTCCTTAACCCCGCCAGCAGCAGATGTCAACGAGGTCATCATGTTTGTTTTGGATTATGTTCAATACAATGTGAGATTTGATGGAAGCCTCAATCGGGATAGTTACATGGCAAGAATGATCGAGGTACTCCAAGACTTCACTTCTCGCCTCAGCCTGACGGGTAACACCGATCAGGCTCAAACCAAGCTCGTTGTCGAAATCCTTTCTCGATGCACTTTGGTGATCTTCCATCTGCTCAAATCCATTCGGGCTCAACCTGCAGTCAAGTCATCCGCATACGATGTGGAGGATTTATTGAAGTCGGTCGCCAGCTACTGTTCAGCAGCGCTCATCTCCGACGGCTTAGATAAGCTTCGAATGCTGTATGATGATCTTCAGTATCTTTCTGTCAGAGAAAGAGGCATCACGTGCGATCAATACGCGGCAAATGGTTGGCTTATTCTAATCAATACCTTAGGGGCTGCTCACATTCCAAGAGCCTCATTTTGGGACGTCACCAACCCATTCTTGATAGCAACTCCTATGAAAGAAGTCATACACGCCCCTGAAATGGAGAAATTGTGGTACTCAATGTATACCCTACTTCCACTCTGCGAAATTAATCCATTGGGTGTTGTTGATCCTGGATTGCGACAGAAAACAAGTTTTGATGATTGGTCATTACCTCAGCAAATACTCAAGCAAGTCTTTGCGCTGTATGAGTCGAATGACAGACAAGCACCAGGATTCAATGATTATTGCCGATCTCTTCTGCACCGCTGTCATTACCTCATGACTGAATGGGGATGGTGGAAGTGTTCCGCTATCATTGGTACTCTCTTTGATTTCTTTGCTTCTCATAGCCTCGCTCATTTGCGGAACGAAGAAGCTCGGTCCTCGCCGCTATTCTTGGAGCAACTCGACACAGAACCAAGCCTCGCAATTGAGCCTGAAGATCGATGTTTTCATATATTCCTCAAGATCGTAGCTCTGGGGATTAAACAGCTTTCCGCAGTCAACGATATCAAAACCATCCGGAACCTTGTAGCTCGTTTATTACCGAATCACGACAGACAATATCCCAAGGACGAGGTCATCCATACACGAGATCTTGCGGCACTGCGCAATCATCACGACCTTCTTTGCACGCTCTTCTGGGCATCACCACCATCCCAACGTCCCTCTGTGGCTCTGATACAGGAACTTGTCATTGCTGATCGCTCTCATAATGAAGCCTGCTTCATCAATATCAAGGCATGGGAGAATTTGGCTTGTTTCATGGTAACAAAGGGTGCAAATGTTGAACTATACAAGCCTTTCAGTCATTGGCAGACCGAGTTTTTTTCCAGCCTTTGCCAGCAATACCTCGATGCCGAGATGGAGGCACGTCAACAAGCGGAAGCGTTGGAAAAGAGCACTGGTCAAGTGATGTCGGAATCAACAGTGGCAGTCACAGTCTTGGCAAACAGGAGAAGTATGATCCTCCCTATGTGCAGGTCAATCACTGCCATGGGTGATATCATTAAAGCTGCAAGGTCTTCAGATATGGTCAGGGAAGCTCTAAATAGTGGTAAAGCTTTTCTACCTCACCCGTGGTATTAACAACTAACTCTCATTTAGACATGCTCTCCAAGGCCTTGGATCCAGCGATTCATATTAATATCGCACTCTCAAAACGATTAGTGGCTGATTGTGTCATCGCGCTTTGCAATTACTTGGATCAACTCAAGCAACTTCATCCACCAGCATTGCAAGATACAGCGATCCCAAGCAACGAAGAGGAAAGTCAGGACAGCATGGATATGGGTATAGACTGGGATCGCATGGAACTGATTATTGTGGGTGTCTTCAAGTGGCACAAGGTCTAACGCTGACATTCTGCAGCCACTCCGTCAAAGTATTATGGGCAACCTCTGTCCATTACTCAGACAGTATCTCGAAGCGGGAACGGAACAAGAGTCAAAAACCCTGGACAACCTGGTTGTTTGCTGGGCTCGCCTTGTCTCGATCGTTACCGAAGAGGGCGCTCTGGTAAGGCTGATGACTTTGCTGATAAGACATGGATGGTGCTAATCTGTATGTAGCCACTTGAGTCTTTCCTCACCCGCGGTGAATATTCAGTCTTTGAAAATCGACGAACGTCCAAGATTGCGGACACGTATTGGCCCTTGTTCCTTGTCAGTCTGCTCCGCAATGGCAAGACCCTTAAAGACTTCCAGGTACGGTTTCGAATGCAGTCTCAGAGCGCGCTCTAACCTACTATTTCAGGTTCCTGGCTTCAATGTCGGGTTGGAATGGTTACTAAGCTTGACGACTTGCCAATCAATTCCAGCACATGTACAGGCTTTGACAACTGAATTGAGACAGAAAGGTCATTATCTCTGTACTGCCATAGATCATGAGTCGTTTGATCAGATCCAGATGATTCGAGGTAATGCAACATTCTCAGACCGTTGGACTCATGGCTGACTCTCTATAGCTGCAATTCGAAGAATGTCCTCGACTCTGATCGAGAAGGCAACTGAGACAAAAGTCGATCTCCCTCAAAAACAAGCACAACGCCTTTTCTCTGATATGCTAGGCGAAGTGATGAGATCAATGCAAAACCTCCTCGAAACATTGGAGCCCGGCTCTGATCTCCACAATTACCATTTGCAGGTCGCTCGACTTGTCATTGCAGACATAAAAAGCTATGCGAGCGACTTCAGACCGCTTACAGATTTTTTCATCCATCCATCAAAGTATTATTGGCCACATGACGCAGACCCGTCCTTATACCGTCCAGGGTTGATAGCGTACTGCCTCCGACTTGAGCAACAACCAGATAAAGCTGCATTCGAGCTGTATCACTACCTACACAGTGGATGGACGAAAGCCCTTGTACAAAATCGCTTGGGCAGTTTCCGCAGCTGCATTCGAACAGGAATGAAATGGTGGAACTTTACGAAGTTCATGCTCTCCGATTATATACCTGCGATCCTTGCAACTGGTTTCAATTCCTCGGCATGGCTACTTTGCTCTATATTCCTCCCAGCCATTGGCAGCAGTCTCTTTGGGTTACTGGAAGATATAGACCATAAGTCAGCTTGGATTTTCGAGAGCCTACTCAACATTCTCAAGATGATCATGAACGGAACCATTATGCAAGCCCATCTATATGAGCGAAACATCCTCGGCGTCCATCCCAACCACCGTGGGATTCTCGCCGTAACTTTCAAGTTCTGGTTTGCCATCGCTCTGCCCATGCGCCAGTATGCCATGCAGCATTCACAAGAAGCGGCTTTGGAAGAAGTCACCGATCCTCTCAGCAGCTTCATCTACCATACCGTACATGCTTTTCAAACAGGCGATCCCTTCATTCAAGTCCCCGAAGGCCAGTTCGACGTCCACAAGGGCAAACACACTGACGGCTTCGTGAAGCACATTTTAGAAGATATCAAGGATAATTGGCAATTCTCGGATGAGGAATGTTTTAGTGTAGCGGTCAAGACGAGGTCAAATGAGTGTAGCACATTGACAGTGTTTCGAGACACATTGAAGGAGGTACTGGAGGTGGATTTGGAGTTGTACCAGTGTGCGTATCCTAACAAGCAGGATGTACTTATTGAGAAGATGAGTAACGTCTACATAGACGAGCTGTACATGTAGAGAAATGAAATGATGGATCGTTCGTACATAGGTTTAGGATATCAGATATCTTCTAAGAAGGGGCCGCATGTTCAGCTTTGTATTGATGTGTTATACTCGGCGCTACTGTTTGTCCTTGTCCCGCTTCAGTCTCTCTGCCAGGTCTGTCATGCAATTGCTCCTTGCTGTACAGTACATCGCTTCGCTACCACCAAATATCGAAAGTTTGCAGCCTTCGAAGCTACCCCTCACTCAAGGGGTATCGTCGTGGCGCAAGAGCCAACATACATCATCAGCCTAAAAGCCATGTGCTTTGGTAGTTCCAACTGAAATGTCCAAGGCGATCTTATGGACGGAAAATCTTAGGTACTTGGATCCTTGCTCCTTGACACAGGTGAACTGCAATGAAGATCCCAGGAAGTCGGTCCCAAGCTCCGGAGACCCCAGAGATTGTTCTACCACTGTTCCATTTTCGGATTCGGAACAACACCCTCCGCAACTACCAGCATAAGCTTCCCGGTGCGGCGATATCTCTATTGCACTTCTCAAGGAAATTATTCATGCTATTTGGTGGTCTCCATGCGGGGTCAGAGACCCTCCAAGGGTCTTTCCAAGATCTTTGAATCGTGGTACGATGTTTTCGGCCCGGGAGACCTGCATAGGTAATGTCATATGTTGGAAATATGGAGCTCTGTAGGGGGACCTGGAAATTACGTGTGAAGGTACTTTATAAAACACTTCCTTCCAAGAAGATTCTTGAGTCTTCTGTGTATTGGGCAATTGGTTCAGTCCAACAGCTGCAACCAAAATGAAATACTCACTAGCATCCCTCCTATCTTTCACGCTTGCTGCATCGGCGGCAGTGATCTCCTCTACCTCCCAACAACCACAATGTAAGTATCCAATTGGCAAATCTGGCAGCTTCGCCAAACCAGCAGGACGCCTCTTCAACATTGATGGAAAGGTGCAATATTTTGCTGGGAGCAATGCTTGGTGGCTTGGTCACCTGTCGAAGAACTCGGATGTTGACATTGCTTTGAAGCAAGTTGCTGCGACTGGATACAAAATCTTGAGGGTTTGGGGCTTTGGAGATGGTATGTCCTTTTTTGGAATCAATTGAGTGGTCTTCGAAATTCATGGGAACTATTTACTAATGTGGACCTTGAAGTCAACACCCCTCCACCAGCGACGAACACAGACCCGAATAAAGTCTACTTTCAGATCTTGAACTCGACAGGGAGTTATATCAACTATGGTGCCGATGGCTTGGAGAGACTAGATTATGTTGTCAGTGCAGCTGAAAAATTTGGTGTGGGACTGGTCTTGAACTTTGTGAACAATTGGGGTGACTATGGTGGGATCCAAGGTACGCAAACTATAGAGAGTACTAGTACACGCCTACTGACTCCCTACGGCAGCCTACTCCACCGCTTTCGGAAGCAATGCCACAACTTTTTACACCAACGCCAAAGCGCAGAAGGCTTACAGGAACTACGTCCGCACTATCGTAACGAGGTACAAGAAGAGTCCCGCGATCTTCTCCTGGGAACTAGGTAACGAGCCGCGCTGCAAAGGATGCCCAAGCTCGGTCATCACAAATTGGGCAACAGATGTCAGCAAGTACATTAAATCATTGGACTCGAAGCACATGGTCACGCTCGGTGATGAAGGCTGGCTAGTACCTGGCGACAGAATTGGCGATGGGTCATACGCATATTCCGGCGTCGAAGGCATCGACTTCGCTGCCAACCTCAAGATCAAAACACTCGACTATGGAACTTTCCACCTTTACCCGGACTCTTGGGGATACAATTACACTTGGGGAGCTGACTGGATCAAACAACATGACGCTATTGGCAAGAAGAGCGGAAAACCAGTCGTGCTGGAGGAATACGGTGCGCCGTTCCCAGGAAACCATACGGGTGTTGAGAAACCTTGGCAGGATGCCGTGTTGAAAACTGGCGTCGCAGCCGACCAGATCTGGCAGTTTGGCAGCCATGATCAGAGTGTGCCTGGGGAGACCTTGGGTGATGTCAATACGATTTTCTATGGAGATGCGGAGTATGAGGTTTTGGGAAAGGCTCATGCTAAAGCCATGTTGAGGAAGAGAGTGTAACTAACCTCTTTGAGATTTTATTCAGTAAAATCGACATGCAAGAAGATAAAGACATACATTAGGATAGTTAAAATGAACTCGCGAGGTCAGCAAGAGGCACGAGTCATACAAACATTAATATCCTATATCCTGTGAAAGTTCGTGATGGCCAGTCGTCCCCGCTCCATTTAGCTGCTAGAGGTGCGAGTCTGTTCATTGGACTAGCGAGGTTGAGACCACAAGATGGTTTGAACAGAATACGGTGACTGCACTAAAAGTGCATCCACTGGCATGACTTCGCTCGCGCAAAGAATAAGATATCGTTTCGCAGGGTGCCAAGTAAACAAAGACAAAAGCGGCCTTGTTAAGCGACGACGCCATCGGATCAACCTCATCCCGACCCAGATGTGCCATATACTATCATTTACTCCTCACGACTTTGAGCCTCAATTGATAAGTAAGTAGAGACAGATACAACAAAGAACAACGACATATTCCCTCAATGTAGAAGCTTAAAGTCGCAGCCCAACTTCAGAACTTCCAGCAAGCGCCATTTCACGTCCAGCCTGACTGTCACGTCCAAGAAATCTGACTTGCCACCTAACACTCCCCCGCTAAACACCATCTAGGAGAACCCTCCTCAATAATGCACTTAGCTGGGTTCAGCTCCAGGCCGCTTCAGGAGGGAGCAATTTTTTTATCTTTAAAATTAAACCAAAGAAATTCAGGTTCAGAAATTAAAGGAGATCCCGATTTTGCTCATACTGTACTGTACAGAGAAATCCCGACTTGTTTTTGGCTGATTGGCCAGGGCTGAGCTGGTTGCGAGTCAGTTGGGAAGCCAATAGACTCCTAAGAGCTTGTCACTTGTCACTGATGACTGCACGGTGTCATGCTTGCAAGTGCAGATTATCCTGGACATGATGCAACCGTACCATTTATGTCAAATTCCGAGTTTCTCTTCATGCATCGTGCATACGAGCTAGTATTACTGATTGGACTGGGAAAAGTGGTTACTGCTAAGCGGGATCCACTGGACGAAACTCAAATACTTGAAAGAGCAAGCGTCAGCGACTCAAATTTGATTGCTGAAGACAGAACCGTCTCCCAGTAATGAATTCGTCGTTCATTTGCCTACATCGGTGATGTGGGGAAAGGCAACAGTCGATGCGTTCTCGCAACTATCTCCGCATAGTCCTTCTCGTTGCCCGGGTTCAAAATCCCATGACGGATCAAGAAGTCAATAATGACCATCCCAGACATGGGTTTATACCTTCCCTCTAGAACGCTTTTCTTCACCTCCTCAACAGTCATCAACTGAAACCCTTGAACCTCAGTATCTCCAGGTCTGGGGTCCATGCCCTTCACAAGTTCCATGTCATAGACATATTTAATAGATGGTTCTAGCTGACCATCATCTTTCACACAAAATTCCGAGACGCAACCAACTGCCTTAGCTGACTGTCTAGTAAGATCCTCAGAAAGACTGGCTTCTTCGCCGGCTTCTTTGACAAGACATTCAAAAGGCTCGACTCCAATCGGTACACCTCCTGCAACAGAACTATCAAACATCCCAGGGTATGCTTTCGTGGTCATAGAACGAGTAGGAACCCAGATCTTCATCTCGCCTGATCCTTTCAATCGTGTGAAGAGCGTCATATGAACGCCAGTCGTGATGATACCAAGTAATCCTGCTCCCGCCCGCTCCACTTTGATATCAGAACGAGCTCCTAAGATGCGGTATTCTTCGTCTCTCCAGCCTTTGAGACATTTGAAGTGGTTTAGTTGCCGAGCATTTTGGAGTAAGCTTGCGATGGCATCATTTGCTGTAGTGGTATCATTGGCAATCAGTTGGACGCGCTTCGGTGTACTGTTTTCGTCGAGATGAAAATCCGGAGTCCATGGCAGGGCTTCCACTGTGGACTGTTGAATGTAGCCATGTGGACGAGGATCATTGGGAAGATAGAAGCGCCAGAGATCATTCGTTGTCAGAACAGATTCTCCACGATCGTCAATTTCTTGATATGGAAAGCTAAATGGAAATATCGTTAGGTCCAGTTTTAGAGGCGAAGATAATACGTACTTATCTCGCTCTTTTACAGTCTCCAAAATGGTCTTCATAGCTGTACACCCTTAAGTTGCACAATAGTGTCCTGACTTCTAAGGTATCTTAATACTTCGGCAGCTTCTCAGAAAAGTGCTTGTAAGTGGTTGATTTGTTTTCTTCAATGCTCTGTAGTCAGGGCGGATGTGGGAGAGAGTTCAAGCTGGAAAACCCGATGTAGGCGCTGACTAGCAAGCTGATGACCCCAACCGGGCTGACGCGGCTAACCTGAAAATCTGTCCTGCCAGCTTGCTCATATGCAGTACATATGCAGTACAGAGGCGGAGGACACTCGGGAGACTCACAACCCGTACGGCACGGCTCGTCCCTTGCTCATTAATGGAGCAAACGTGTCACGGCAGAGGCCAGCTACCTCTACTTATCCGCTTCTCCGTCTCTAGGTCCTCAGCTGGTTCGCCACGGTCATGTGCCCTGTTTTCCAATCCGCATGATCCCATACGGTTTGGATTCAATCTCCGGTCATTCTGAGATTTCTTGTAACGTTGTCGTAATAATAGCCTAATCTGAATTTATGCAGGTACCTTGTATTCAGCTTGAGCGGTGGTTTTTCGTTACGATGCGAGAGCAGGTACTCGTTGATGAGAATGAAACTTTCATAGCCAAAATTGCATCTGTAGAAGCAATGCATCTTCCACTTTGTAATGAATGGGGGTATCCCCCCCGCTTAATGCAGCGTCAAGAACTCATGAGCGGGGTTGCACATTATGTTCGTGCTTGTTCACCAAGGGTACCGATCCCTCAGCATCCTCAGTGTACCCTCCAGTCTTTGTGACTTGTCAGCTCGTAAAGTCTATATCCGCCGACTCCGATAAAATAATAAGCTATCACCTGTTTCGTTGAGTATAAAAGTTTACATATTGCCTGTTCCACCTCACCTTTTCCTCCAAGGGCGAGGATACTCATGTTGTGTTCACTGTCTCGGTGGCACAAGTATTAATCGGCCTAACGGTTTCGACCTCCATCTTCGGAAGTCCAAGCCAAACAATTACAATCATGGCCACTACTTCTGCCACCTTGCTAGTTTCAGCCGCTTGTCTTCCAAAAGCAGATGCCAAGACCATTCATCTGGAAGCTTACGGATCTCCACGAGAGCATTATGATGACAACACCGTGAGTGGCTACCCTCAGAATCCTTACATTTCTTGAATGCACCTCAGAATTCTTCGCCCAAGTAGAAAAAGAGTTTGGAACATCTGAGCTTCCCCATCCATCCTTCGTATGCAGACTGACACTTACAGCATTGCTTCCCCATTACCGCCCATTCCTCTACACATACCATGGGAGCCATTCTTCCGCACTACGTCCTGCCCAAAGTTCACACCGCCATTCCATTGAATGAATTCCTCTCTATCCTGGTCATAGGATCCCACAACCGTTCCGCATCTGCTCTAATTACCGAGAATGAGAAGGCAAACAAACCATTCAATTGGCAACGTCCCACAGCAACAGTCCTTCAGACCCCTGAAGGAAATGTACTCCAACTAAATGTTCTCCCAGGGCAAGCATATGTTGAGCACTATGCAGCGCTCCTATCTACATATTTCGCAACTGTGGAGTTTACTGGACGCCGAGTCCCGCCCGTTCACTACATTCCACCAGCAGCTGACGCTTGTGCGTCCATATTTGCCGATTCAAACCTTCCGTATCTTGGAAAGATTGATATCGCAATCCTAGGATATGTAGACAAATTGCCCCGCTGTGCCGGACCCGACATCTGGGAAACAGGTGTGGATCGGGAAACCGATGGTGGTGAACTCTTCGCTTGGAAGAAGCAAACTCTTCCTGATGGCAGACTTGTCGCATTTATTGGATGCACCGCATGTTATTGGGGAGATATCGGTGGCCAACTGATCCGAGCACTGAAAGTCCATAACGCAGTGCAAGAAGCAGTGTACATCGGAAAGCTAGGGACATTGAACGAAAATTATATTCCGAATTCGATTCTCGCTACTGGATCTTGCAGTACGTTTCCTGATGGCAGCACCGTTGAATGGAAGAGCATTCTTGAGGAAGCAGTGAAGAGTAGCAGTGGTGTTGTGCATGGGGTTCACTTCACTGGAGCAACATCTTTAAGCGAAACAAAGGAATGGACTCAGCAATGGAAGAGAAAGGTCGACTGGGTCGATCCCGAGATCGGTCATATGGCAAAGGTGTCTTTGGAACTTGGAATAGGGTATGGTTTTCTTCATGTTGTTTCGGATAATCTGTCCAGGGAAGGTTTAGAGGGGCTAGTCGATGAGCGGAAAGCGACGATCGTGGCGGATAGGATGAAGCTTTTAAAGCAAGCCGATATGATCTTGGACGAATATTTTGGTCTGAAATGATGATAGATGGGCTCAGTACAGTACACGAAATGATTTAAGAGCAAATATTGCAGCGTTGTTTGAGGACTAAATAAAGCGAACATAAGTTCACAAAACATGAGTCGAATTCTGGCCCCTTTCTCTTTCACTTATTTGTCCCCGTCACGCTATTTTATTTCCTTCACTCTTTGATAATAAAGCAAAATTCAAGCTCTTTTCCTCAATTTACACTTTCTCTTGCTTCTCACGCATCCCAACCCCAGAATCTGTCTGTGTGTCTTGAGCTAGATCCTTTGCGTACGAAAACTATGAGAAGGTCCTCTTTGATAATCCAGTTGCCTGTGTTGCAGCTTTTGATTGGGTCATCGTCGAGCGAGGATCCTTTGGTTTCGACGCGAGCGCTTCCTTTACAGAACTGGTCGCCATTTTGATAGATGATTTGCCATTCTTGGTCTTGGAAATTGAGGCATCCTCTCCAGGACCTTTGTCAGAGCATAAGAACTTGCGAAGAATTGGCTGGTTGTCAAGAAGCTGGCCGTTTCGTGATGATCCTTTTAGATGTCCTGGGGTTCGTCTTGCGTATTCGACGTACAGGTAAGGATTGTTCGGCCATCGTTGTCTCGCTATTGCCAATTCCCAGTCAGTCATGGACTGGTAATAGAAATCGACGACAACTCCAGGAAGAACTTCTTCGGGGTATGAGGAATCTTCCCAACATAATAATCGTCCAGAACGACCTTGGGGGGTGTGGAGCTTTGGTGGAGGCTTATTGCAGCAGTGGCAAGGCATGGTTGTAGAAGTGTGTATACAGATTAGAGAATAATGACTGGGGGAACAGGATACGGTACGGTAGAGAATTTAAAAGTTATGACATGTGCTTAGTAGTTTGGAAAGCCCAAAAAAGTCAGTGGGAAGTTTTAAAATATGTCCCAGCCTTCACTGGAGAGTTGTGACGAATGGTTCAAACATATTGAACTAGTGTCATGTAATTTTCAGAACCGCTGGCCACCAATTAAGCGAATACCGCAACAAAACACAACAAGCAGGGCGCTAACACTAGTGAACCATCATCGAAAGTTGTAAGCACCAAATTCCAGGCTCATAAAAGAATACGAAATATTTTTTTTTTTGGATAAAGCCCACAACCGTGTTCACAAGCATGCTGGAACGGCAGATCCGGTGGACGACAGGGCTGGTGTGTCACCAGATCAGCATGTAATCTCGAATGGCCAGCACGAGCAACGCCACCAAGTCCGTGGAGTTCTTGCCATTGCCTGTATTTTCACCTAAACACAGATGCTGACGAAACACGTGATAGTTATCTGCTTTTACATTATCCCAGTCGGACAGAATATTTTCAGGATAGCAGGAAGCCGTCCGAGGTATTATTGAATAGCTTGGACGCCATAAACAAGTTCATGGTTTCTCAAGTATGATTTTAAGCTTACTAGTTTCGCAATTCTGAATAATGAAACCAATTCATTTTCTGTTTGCTTATCTGTAGTGTTTTGTAAGTACCAAGTGTCGTTATTGATGTTATGCTCGCTAAGGAATTGGCGGGGTATTCCACTGGCTTGCCAAGGGCACCGGCTGTCGTCGCAAATATAAATTTAGTGTAAGAAGGACATGAGAACTCGATCGACAGAGTAGAGAGGCCCTGTTGTAATTCACATTCATCCGAAGACAAAATTCGTCACCATTTCTACCAGCATAACGCAAGACCCCATATCATTCCAGCATGATGCGCTTCCACTCCCTGTCCGCATTGATCCAATCTTTCTCCACAATTATCGCACTCCCAATCCTTCGAGCGACCTCAGGCTCTGTCTCACTGAAGGCCACAATGAGGCAGTTCAGCGACTCTTCTTTGTCGTATTGCGGCATGCCGACGGGCCAATATCTTGATATCACGACGAAATCCATTAAGACTGGTACCTTCTCAGAAGATGTAACTCTTTCGTAGTCGTTCGAGTCGTTGCCAACAACAGATTCCCCCGCATCAGCAGACGAAACGTTAATGCCGTCCAGTGAGTGGTTTGAATCGCTGTCTTCACTTTTCTCCCATGTGAGATCAGGAACGGTAGCCTCGTCGACCCTTTCCTTCACGAGGTGAGTTGATATGATTTTCTGTGCAACGCCCTCATTCTCCTCTATGTCCTTGGCCTGTCCGATTTCAGCCCGTACTCTTCGATTGAACTCTCTTTCTGCAATGCCATTGGTTATACTGATTTTGATCTGGCTACCTGCGATTTTGACCCTCATTTCGTCGTGTTCAGCGGCATGGACCTGTAGCTGAGCATGGCTTGTCCAGAATACAAGTCTGCCAGTATCGACACGCGCAAGATCAACATGGCCAGGCAGCTTGATTATTGGTTCAGGAACTCTTATGCTGAATTTAATCTCCGCTGGTACTGGTTTCTTCCATTGATGGCTTTGACTGGAGTCTGCGCCTTGACGAAGAGATTTGGGCTTCGGGGAGTCTTCAGCATCCGGTGATATGTCGTGAGAGGCTCGCAGCGACCTTTGGGTAGTATCAATAATCGGCTCCACATGGCCATCGGCATACAGTCTGTAAAAGTCAATCTCACTTCTACCCCTGCCCGCGATCCTCTCGTTGTCCAGTTCATAATTGAAGATGACCCCACCAATGAACCCAGTCCATCCCAGCCAGGACCAACTGGGAAACCCGATTTGGTAGGACTCGTCTTCCACAATCAATCGACAAAGTTCTTCACGACGTCTCTTGCCATACCTCCAGGTAAGCGCCTGATCGAACAAATCGTATGGCAATGCCCAGTGGAATTTCTGGTTATTCCGATACTCCATACGGCGAAGAATTCCCGAAAAGGCGGCAAGTACATCATTTTGGTATGTGAATTGTCGTGTTGAGTAGCGTGTGACATAACCTGATAGTGCGTCTCTGGAGAACTTTGTTGGCCGGTCATCCCACTCGTCGTTGCAATCCATCGCTTGAGGTAGGACCCAAAGAGACGTGCCAGTTTCTAGATGAGTCTCCTCATTTAAGACTTGATGTTCACACTCCCACTAGGTAGCAGAGTCAGTACATAATATGTCGTTTCAGAGCCGGGGTGCTTGTCCATACATAAACTTGCTCAGGGGTGACTATCAAGGCTCGACGAGAAAGAAGTCTTTCTTGGAAAGTCCATCCTCGGGAGTTCCAAACCGAGTGTTGTAGGTGACTGGAATTACCTTGGGCAACTGTCTCCATGAGATGATACCCATTGCCGATGTTTATTTTCGTTTGCGATATTGGTCTTGGGATTTTGACACCTGGCATGCCTGCTTCTGCACTTGCACCTGTGGCCATGATGATTGTTGCCAGAGCACAAGCATAGATAAGATCCCTTATATTATCAGCAACCCTTAATCGGACTTAGAGAACAAACACTGCTACAAGTAGGATCTAGGAATGCTCGGAATTTGGGGAGGCTGCGAGGGCTCGACGCCCTCTCCACAAGGGCAATTCTCGCTAGAGAAGCCTGTGATCATCAACCATCGCCTAATTTAGTGATCTCCTTCAGTGTTCCGCAGAAGATATTAACAGTAAGATTGCGTGCAAATAGAACGTTTAGACTCACATCTGCGACGTTTGTTCTGCAAGCTCTTTGAAATCGTCTTGCACGATGCAAAGGGCATCCACCCAGAGATACCTCTCCCCGATCTGCGAGACGAGTGCCATCGCGTCCGTGATCGTCCTAGGTAATAAGTCGAGGTCCAAACCATTATTCAATCGACTCTCGTCGACATTTGCCGTTTTCATGAGCCACCGTTGAGAACCCATCTCCTTCAGATCTCCCCAAACATAACTCAGAGCTACATACCGACAATCCGGGGGTGCTGCAACCACGCAGTGCTTTTCCACATCAATGACTTTGAGAAACGTAGGCTGTGAAGGTTCACCGAACCACTAGTAGAAGGGCATCAGCAATGTATCAAACATAATGGCAAGTGCTAGATGTCTATCATGCTTATATGAGGAGTTGAGTAGGTGTTATCAATCGATAGAAAGCAATCTGAACTACCTCGGGAGCATGGCAGTCAGCACCATGGTGTTCCTGGCAAGTATGCAGCCAGCTTTTCAGCTGCTCTGAATCAATGCTTGAGCTCATCAATCGCCCAAATCCAGGAATATCGTTGTCTTCCTTGTGAATTTGAAATCGGATCTTGGAGAAGAATCCAAAGATTGCGGGCTCAAAATTGACAATCAGACGGGAAACATCGAGCTTCTGCACCTGCTGTCCCTCCCAATCCAGCGGACCAACAGTACACAAGAACTGCTGATCCAGTTCCACTTCAACTCGATTGCGTCCTTGCGAAGTCGGTGGATCTTTGCCATCATTAAGACGTCTTGCACAAGAGATCAAGAGGCTGCAAAATTCGCATTTCGATGACCGGCTGATTATATCTTCCAAATAGCCCAGTTTCGCGATCTCTTTGGCTTGTTCCTCTGGCTCTTGGGAGACATGCGCATCTTTGGTCTTAATGAAAAACGATTTGAAGTCAATAACTCGACAAGTCTCGCACAAATGGGGCAGTGGAGGTCCCTCTTCGCTCCCGCGTATGGGTTCCGGCATAGTAGTTTGAGGTAATTAATAGTGTGAAGCACGCAAAGTGGGGTGACGTAGTGTCCCTCTGTAGGTGACTTCCTACGTAAAAATATTGCCGACCAGAGTATCTACTTAGGAAGAGCTATAAATATCTGTGACAGAAAGCTGGCAACTGGATAAGCTCGAGTTGAGGAGATTAGCAAAATTCGAGGAGCTGAAGCTGAGCTGTACAGTAAGCGACATTAGCCTGAGGCTAAGCTATTTTTGAACAGCGACCATCTGCTTTGCAGGTAGAATTTACTTTGTCGTAAAACAGTCAGAAAATGTGGGGCAGGTCAGAAGTGCGTGTGTGAGAGGCATCGCTTAACATGATCTGTCCAACTTGTCACCAATCTTGAAATCAGAGTTGAGAAATCGAGTACTTCGTTATACACTTCTTGGCATTTCACCTGACATTATAACTCCAATGATGCCTTGGGTCATTCAACAAGCTTTCCATCTCTTCCCTATCTCCATCCTTGACTCCAGTATTTACCATCCCCGCTTCAATGGCCAATTTCGCATGCTTCTTCGCCCCCTTCATATCCCCGTCAGCATTATAGGCCAGCGCGGCAAACATATGTCCTGTGCCGAGCGCGGCATGAACACCCTCTTCCTCATAAAGCTGGAGCAGCTCTCGCGCCATATTTGGCGTCCCGATAGAGTCAGGAGACCAATCCGCAAGAAATCCCTGGAGTTCTTGGATCCGTCGAATACGATTGTCGGATTTCCGAACTTCGGCTGGCTCGGCCGTGCAGAGCGAACACTTGCATTCGAAACCCCAGGTTTGTGTGAGCGCTTCTTGACGCTGAGCGCGGGTTTCGAGAATGTTTGCATCTAGGCAAAGTTAGGATCGACAGGCTTGATACAGCAGGATATGCCCTACAGGTGATGGTAATCTCTTCTCCAGGATGAATCGTTCTCGAAGCGTAAGTAGCATGTATCAAAGTTGACGGATCATGATAATACATCGCACTACCTATAATCAGCATGAGACTTGAAATTTGTAGCTCACAAGGACTTACTTTGGACGGCAATCGTGGTTCATAAGCTACAGGATTTTCATCAGTACCTTACCACGTGACCCTAAATGGAACGGACATACCGCTGTCTCAGGATACAACAAGAAGTGAGGTGAACCCTCAAATTCCCCTGCAAATGCATTCGTATTTACTCTCTCCATGATTGGATCTCCTGGATTATGCGCTGCCATCTTGACAAAAATCTCTCTCGTGGCCTTCGGTAGCTGCTGAAACGCCTTGTGCAGGTACTTGTACCCCTGAGGCCAATCAGGAAAGAAAGCATCGCTTTGATACACCCCTACTGGTGTATCAGATACTATCTCATCACCGCGGTGAAGAGTGCGTGTGGCGAATAATCCATTTCCACGACCTGCTACATTGCGAACTTCCCATGGTGGATCGGTGAAGTTGTTCACATGTGTATGAACCTCCGGCTGTATGAATGCTGGAAGAGAGACAACCTTTGCAGCGATTTTAGGTGATGTGAAGAATGAAATTCCACGTCCAAAGGCAAAGTTTGCGTTGGTGTAGACACAGAACTCTTCATTCGTTTCCTTGTCTGTAATACATTGAGGTTCTTCAGTCCAAGGGTGGTATTTGGATTCTGGTTTGGCTTCTTCTTGCTTTGGAGGCTCTTCTTGAATAACATGCTGCTGATTCGTTTCTGGCAATGGCTCTGTAGTGGTAAAATTAGGATACATGCATTTTTCTGAGATACTGCAGAAGTCTCCTTGGAATAGGTAGTTGAGGGGTTGTCCAGCGTATGAGGAGGACAGTAGAGATAGCGACGCGGCGAGGATTGAAGAACGCATGATTGATTGTTTGGGAGAGATGATTACGAGTTTGAGTATATTTGATGAGTAGAAATACTTTCCATCTGATGCTGTCACGGACTTCCGTGAGCACTGATGTTGGACCGCCATCCGTTCTTGGGATGTTTCATCATTGTCTGAAGTTCGCATCAAGGGGGTAGTGCAAGCCAAGGCGCCAATCGGTCAACCTTAACCAAAGTCCCGATCCTACCTAGATAAACAGTTCTTGAACTTGAAGATATGAATGCATCATGATCTCCGGCTGCGAGATTTGTAGTGAAGCCAGCGCGATGTGATGATGCAAACAGGAAGATGCCTGTGATTTTAGAGAACGGGCGCTAGGAACGAGCCTAGATTTAGCGAGGACAGGCTAGTCCACCTCAAAACAAGCCTATTCGTCACGGAGTTCATTCTCTTTCCCCGAATTCCTTTCCCTTTTCAAGATCTTCGTATTAGATCATAATGATATTCCATTCAAAACACAGTCAAGTCTCCATAGCGACCTCACTAGCGCCGCCAGAAAGCCAATCTCTGCTTCCAGAACTCTCTCACACGCCAGTAAAGTTACAGGTACAATTAGATACAAGAAGTTTATCCAAATGCCGGCCCATCGAGGGGATGACCAGCACCCCGTGCAGATTTCTCCGTCATGTCTATCAGTCATACTCCATACGTCTGTCATGCTCGTCAATCCGTGCAAGTGCCCGCGCCGTCGATTCCGTCATCATCGCCCCCTCCACGTCTCTCCTTGCTTCCCGCTCATCGGGAAAGCCATATGCGTATGTGAGCGCGTTGGTGTAGGCGGAGCTATAGCCCATGTTGGAGTGCTCCGTATCACCCAAGTAGTATAGGAGCCGTTCGGAAGGGGTGTAATGTCTGGAAGAATTGGCTGATTTCGCGGAATCTTCTGTGGCGTGTAAAATGGAGACATGTGCTGGTTTCGGGGCCGTTTTCGACGATGTTGACTTGGAATTTGTTGAGTGTTTTGCGCCTGAAGACTTTTTGGACCGACTGTTTTACTTTGTCAGTTCCTGTCAGGTACAGAACTCTCCTTCTCTTTCAGCTCACCTTGAACTTGATCCATTAGCAGCCATCGTAGACATTGTAGCACTGGGCTTCGTCTGTGTTCAGTCCTCGTCACGTGTGTTCGTGAAGTTCACGTGGGTTTGCAGTGTATTTCGTCGTGCACTTGTCGTGCACTTGGAGTTTTTGGGTGTGTTGACTGACAGCCCTCCATCTTGAACAAGATATGGGCAGCTCAAGATTTTATGTTGTCCTTTGAGCCTCCAATGTCCTGTGTGTAATGAGTCCATTGCAAGAATTTTGCAATTGTATGCCAAACTGCAAAGTTCGGTTATCGAGGCAGGAAACTCGACTGCGCTTTGACTTCCCAGAGCATCTGAAGATATCCAGCAGTCTGGTCTTGTGGAAATTGGCTCCCGCAATTCGCAATTGGGGCGTACTGTCCAGTCGATCACTTGGCAGGGAAGGCAAAGGGGGTGACAATCAACCTGGCAAATCTGACATGAACGCCATCTTTGCAGTGCGAGATCAAGCGGGAAATAATTTCAAGAGCGTTTCTGAATCCCCCGTCAAGCCCGGCTCCCCACAGCTGTCAAAGGCGCGGTGTTTCCAGTGGCGAAAACGGAGACGAGTCTTGGCGTAGTCTAAGTTACCCCTGCGTGCGGCGTTTTCCAGGCTGCTTGAAACCGCCCGGAAAACAAGTCTCATCCAACCGACACGCTGTAACACCTTCAGCCAAGCATCCGGCGGAAGCCCATCATGAGATGGAGATGGGCCGCAAAGCGATCCGCAGGGACTCTCTCTAGTCTGGACTCTGGAGTCAGAGTGATCTTGCCGTGATGATGCAAGAACCTGTGGGGAAGCTGGTCTGTTCTCGTCTACGCTTTTGTTTTGCAATATTTTGCATGCAATATTTTGCCATTCACTTCACTTCTCATTCAAGATTCCATCTCTCTTGAGCATCATGGAAACTCTGTACTCGGTGAGAACATTTGGCGTCAAACGCGCAAACCATCAATGGGCTCGACAACGAGGCAGACGAGGCGGACAACACCCTTGTTCTCTGAGATTACGACTGCACACTTGTCCGCTTAGGGACTCATTGGCGAATGGCCCTTCCCTTTTGAGGGGACTTTCTTGCAGTTTGCAGGGAGGCGGCAGCAGTGTGTGTTTATCGAAGATCAAACAGATCTCTGGCTACGAACCAACAGATGTAGTTGCCAACTCATTTTCATTCGCTCCTTTCTCTCCTTTTTCTCCTCGAGTCTTTGAAATGTCAATTCCATTATCTCTCTAGTCCGCGATCGTCAGTTGTATGCAGCAGACCATTCATGCATTGTTTGCAGTGACACTGCCTCGCGCCGTGTTCGCCTCGCCCCCACCATCGGTGTGGCTTTTCTGACTCTCTGATGACAGCCTGCCTGATCTCTCTCCCAGATCCTCCATTCTCCAAACCTTTCTCACTTCTCGAAAACCGATCCTGTTGGGACTTGGTTTCAAACCATCATTACCACAGTCACTTGCTGGGCTCATATCAGCATGCCATTCTCTCCCTGACACCACGATCTCAACGAAACCTCAAGACCTACAAAACTCCCAGCCTTGTTGCTGGTTGGCTTTCAGAGCACTTTTTACTGGCTTTGTGTCCCGAATCAACGCCTCGCAAAGTTTGTACGATACGGCAACGCATCGCTCTGATGTACACGGTGCGCAATTAATTGTTCAGTTCAAAATCAATCGAGTAACCAGTCTTTACCTGTCACAAGCGAAGGCCTGGTGCCATCGCTGTCCTATCATTACCAGAACATGATGTCCAAACCCAATGCCCAATATGACTGGAATACATACATGCCCAAGATGGTGGAGTTGTATGAGACCGGAATGTCAATACCGAATATTCGCGCCCAGATATTAGATCCTGCAAATGGATTCAAGCCATCGTAAGCTTCGTGCTTGTTTGACTTCGCGAGTTGCAAAACTGATCGCTGTGTGCAGCCTGAGCAGCCTGTATTCGAAGTTCAGGGACGAAGGGTTCCCTACAAAGTATACGCGAGCTTCCCGTCTTCAGCCAGCCAAAACCTCCATGGGGACTGCCACAGTTGCAGGCAACGAATACAGCAGAACTCTTCAGGTCCCTACACTATGTTCAACAACGAACGTCCAGGGCGCCCTGGACTTCCAGAACACCTATACTCATAAAGGGATAGACATCACGTCGCGTTATCATCCTGGCTTTGGAGATGTCCAAAATCAGGTCCCGCTAAATGAATCGAGTGTGAGCCACGGAATGGACGGAATGGGAGTAAACACTTGGGATAATGGTGTTCGAGACTCTGGGCCGGTTGCAACAAACTATTTTCACGTGCCTTGGTCGGATACGACGCTGGAGGATGTGTTTGGGGCACCAGAAGTAAACCCCGATCCCTGGGTAGCACAGGCACCGTACTCGACGTTGAATGTCCCTCGTTCAAACCCTGGATCGGTAGCTCTGTCAGAGGCGGATACAAGCCGATGGTCGATGGATAGTGATTTGGATATTGGAGACAAACTTGGTCCTTCTTCCAAGAACAACGACTACCTGTCCCAAATGCCAACGACGAACCAGAAACGGCAGCACCCACTCGACAATACCTCCCTACCAGATCGATCCTCCAAGCGAAACTCAAGTCCCGTCACTGAATCCTCCACCTCTCGTCCTGTGTCATGGACCAAGCGAGGCTTCAACCGCTCTGTGTCTCCTGACAATCGACTCTCGGGTTCTCCAAGAGATTCGGGCTATGCGAGTGGCAGGAGCTCGCTCTTGGTTCCCATCGCTGAAGACACACCCCCACACCCAGACTCTTTGAAGGAATTTGATGGTATGCATCGCGTGCCATGTCACGATCTTCATGAGCCTCAACCGCCATCGAGTACTAGTTCCAAGAACTTTGCTACATGTGGTCACTGTTTGTTCTCTGGCATTCACAGTCTCAGTTGGGCTTCCCGGAACATGACCGCACATGAGTTCAGAGAGGAAATCAGAAGTGATCATGTTGATTCCTCTGCCGTGGACGCTGCTGGAAACACAGCGCTTCACTATGCTGCTGCTGGAGGTGCAAGTTACGAGCATTTGTCAGCACTCATTGATATTGGTGTCGACCCATATCGTATCAACACTCTCGGGCAACTTTTTCTTCACTATATTGTGCCCAGCCAAGAGTTACACGTCTCACTCTTTAGCCTCGAAATGGTCAATTTCTTGAACTCGTTAGGGTCAAAGGGAGCGGTTACTGCTCTTCGATGGCGAGATAACGAGGGGAAGACGGTTCTGGATGCTATTGCAGCCCAGATGAAAGACCGTGAAGGAACTACGCAGATCTTTCAGTGAGTCGTGCGGCATTGTATCCTTTTCATCTTCACAATTAGCTAATGAATTTCAGACCCGTGAAGGACGCATTCTTTCCGTTAGAGAAGCCGCTGCAGATCGGAACGCACCTTCAAAGCCAGAGACCACACTGGCAACAGTCGAAGTCTGGACGTGATCAGGACATTGCTACCTTGAATGATTTTACCATGCACCAGACTCGACAAGATCAAGCGTACAAGATTCTTGGAAGGGCTTCCATTGAGCCGTCTTATGTTGACCCAGACACCGGTGATAACATCCTTCACGCACTTTCTCGCCTTCGCCTCCCCGAGAGTGGGTCCCTTCTGGAGAAGATTCGTGATTTCGTATCGAAAGATATTGACCTGAATGTGCATAACAAGGAGAGAGACTCTCCTCTAACAGCATTCATTCGGGAACGACCGTTCCTCGGGGTAGAGAGTGACGAGACTGGAGCAACCATGTCGAAATATCTCGATGCGCTACTCTGGAAAGATACACGACGTCGTGTTCCTAACAAGATCAACGTGAACATGAAGAACCGAGAAGGTGCAACTGCGCTCTACTACGCAGCAGTTAGAGCTCGCCCAGATTCTGTTCGAAGTCTGATTGAGGCTGGTGCAAATGTTAATGCGAGAATCAGTGAGTTCAAACGCAAGGCCGATTCCACAAGCAAGCTGACAAATTCAAGCTGTGGATGGGCAGTTAATTAGTGTTCTCCAGGCAACGCTGAACGTCAAAACGAAAGCCGTATATGCCAAGAACGAACTCAAGATTCACCTGTTTGACAACGTGATTTCTTACCTTGAGCATGACGGAGCTGTGACCGATCCAACGGTTATGCTTGAGCGAGGACTTTGTGAAAACTCTATTACGATAATGCCAAAGTAAACAGCAACGTTATGAGGGTGGTTATGCTTAATGATTCCAGTGTTGTTTATGAAGGAGGGACTTTCTCTATATACTTTGTAATATTATGGGCATACAGGGCGGCGATTCAGCGAGCTTTTGGGACCACTGGCGCAAGCTTGATTTATAGTTGTAATATTTAGTCTTTTTCTGTAATATATCCTGTTATGGCATACGTACAATTGGCTTCAGTTGTAGCCACTCAACACTACCCGTGAGCCGTGTTCCATCAACCTCACTTGCAATAGAACCTTCTGCATCTTGCTTCTCAGGTCATGGTCTGGTGGACCTGGAGGACGCCAGACTCCACTTTCCCTTCGCTTAGAATAAGGTTATTCTGGACGACGACCTCGGTTGCGAACTCTCCCAGACCCAACCTCTTCTGTTTCCTGTCTTCTGACTACTGAGACACATTTCAACCTCTGCACATGCACCGCCAGCTTTGCTCTCACATGGCACCTTTACCTATGTTTACGTTACAGTCACTGATGCCGAGCATCGGCAATGCCAAGATGACGTTAGGGAAGGCTCGGCGGCAGTTCAGTGCCGTCCAGAACGGTGCCATGCAGGGTGACGTGAAGTCAGACCAAGCCCATGCTAGGCGGCGACGAGTGTCGTTCTGGTTCTTGCCACATATATCTTCATCAAACAAGAGAAGTTTGATTTCCTTTTGTCAATTTCCATTCAGTTACAACCGGAAACACTGCCAAAATGACAGCCAGAGAATACTACGACAGCTTCAACCCGGCGGCACAACACCCGAACTACCCTCCTCCTCAGTATCAGCCTCTCCCCACCGAGCAGCAGAACATTGTTCAAACAGTACCGCAACAGCAGCTACCATTCCCAGATTATAAAGCGGGATATCCAGGATATCCACATCCTTCCGAAGTAGTCCATCAAAGCCAGCTACAGCCACAACAATACCACTCCCCTCAACAGCAATACCAACAAACCCAATCTCCACAACCTCAACATAACCAACCCTACGTCCAAACTCCACAATCAGATGCTCGCCATCCACGCCCTCCCTACCCCACAGACCGGCTCCACCACCTTCGCCCCGAACGCTCGTATTCCGAACCCCCCACTTCACATCTCCACCCTCAAGACGCACACTCTCACCACCACCATCATCATAGACGACACTCACGCTCTTCCTCTCACTCCCACTCAGGATCGCGCTCTCGATCCCGATCAGGCCAACGCTCCCGTCGACGGTCCACCTCACGCTCTAGACCGCGAAGCAGCCAGACCGAGACCCGGCACAAAGGCAGGAATACATTCTTCGGTGCTTTTGGAGGCGGATTGCTAGGCGATGCTATCTTCCCTGGGTTGGGAACGGTAGGAGGTGCGATTTTGGGAGGTGTGATGGGGAAGGAGAGTGCGAAGGGCAAGAGGCCGAGGAGTCATAGGAGGAGTTATGAGGAGGAGTGGGAGGAGGGGAGGAGGAGGCGGGGAGAGGACTATTAGGCAAGGTGCGGGTCAATGAGAAGAGGTACGAGGCCGAAGAGAGGGAAGAAACGGTGCGAGATTATATCTGGATTATCTGCTTTGAATTTTGAATAATGATGCTGGGGTGGGCTGTATTGATTTGTTTTCTAGAGTGGCGCATAAGCCAGGCTCCATGAATTATACCCAATTTGCGATGTTTGGAAGGACTGAGAAGTGTATGACGCTGGTTTCTCATCACCGAATACGGCAATGGAGTGGGAAGCGACATGTGTTTTCATTTTGAGCAGCGTGGTCGATAGTTTTCTCGTTCTTGGCAAAACGGGAACGGACAGCCGTTCGTTTACACTAACCCTAAACGGACTGGCGTTCGTTTTAGCGACCTAGAATAGCCGTTAGTTAGTTAGATCTCTAACGGAACGGGGTCGTTTAACCCTGTTTTAGTATAGTTCCCGCTAAGCCTTATATAAGTAGACTATGCTACCCTTTCTAATAACTTTTAGGGGAAAGTCAGATATCTAAGTATTAAACTCTACTAATCTTTAGTATAAATATATAAAAATAATATTAAATTTAAGCTATAACGTAGATCTTTTATTTAATGTATTATTTATTGTTTTCTACTAAGTAGTTATTAAGAAAAAAGGGGTTAAAGTTGAGTTGCTCTTAACGCGATTTTTATAAGGAAACTATCGTGTACTGTAGGGAGGAGCTTCATATAGTATAAAAGTCTTGATTTATTAAGGTATTCTAGAGCTCCCCTATAAGAGGAAGCTCTAGGAGTTCTAGTTATATAAGCAGCCTCTAGTTAGCTAGAGCGCCTTATAGAGTGCCTCAGGTGCGTTAAGTATATAATATACCCCCTCGCTTAGCTTTATAATAGTAAGCGAAGCGACGTAAATAGTATAGATAATACTACCTGAACTATAATAGGAGTTAATACTAACTAATAGCGTTAGGTTTTAAGCGCCTAGTAGCTCTAAATATATAAACTAAGTAGGTCCCTTAGAATACTCTTTCCTTAAATAATAACTTCGATATAATATTAGTAAATATAGCTAAAAGCTCCCGCGTTACCCGCGCCTTACGCGCCTCTAACCTCGCCGCTACTTATATAGTAAAGAAGAAGACCGTAAGTTATTAATTTAAAGATTCCGATATAATTAGTATTATAAGGAATCGTTAGAACTATACTAATACTTATAAAATAGGCCCGTAGCTACTATAGCTCCCCCGCTACTACTACTCTACTACTACTACTATTACTATTACTACTACTAGTACTAGTACTAACTCCTGCCCGCCGCCCTACTATAGTAGAGGCTATTTATACTATACCTTATAGCTACTATATTCGCAGTAGTTTATAAGGTGCGCTAGGCGACCCCTATTATAATAAAGAGATAGCTTCACGCTATTTTTATTATTATAAAAATAATAAATTAAGTTATATCACTACCCTTACTTATATTACTAAACTCTTCGCTAGCTACTTAGTAGCCCGGGCCTTCCTAGAGGGTACACGTGTAAGTATTTCCTTATATTATAGTATTAGAATAATAAAGTATTAAGGTATTAATATTAAAGTACTAAGTAAGGCTAACTCTATAATATATATAAGCTCTTATAGTCCGCTAGGCTACTATTCGGAAAGCCTTAGAGACTAAGGAGAATAAGGATAAGGATAAGGATAAGATCTATACTACTATCTATAAGTTATAATAGTAATCTTATAGATTTCAGATATTATCTAACTATTAATATTAGCTATTACTCTTACTCTTACCTCTACTCTCTATAAAGAGACTATTATTCCTCCCCCTTGCCTTATTTTTAGCGCTATAGGAATAAGCTCCGGCTCTATAAGAGCTACTATTATTACTTCTATAGTGTATTTAACTTTATATACCTCTACTTTAGTAGAGGTTAATATTATAGCTAGCGCTACCTAGCGGTTAATTAACCTTCTTCTCCTTTCTTAGTAAGTAGTATAAGCTTTATAACCTTTAAGTAGTAGCTTAGGAATATTACCCTTTTATTATTATAGTTCGGGCTAGCGTATTAATATAGCTTTATAACTTAGAAGTTATAGCTTAGGATCAGGTCCCTTATTCTTTGTATTATTTTAGCGCGGCTTTATAACCCTAAAGTAGTAGCTTAGGATTAGGTCTTATAATTCTACCTCTTCTCTCCTCTCTAATAGTATTTAAGAACTATAAATATAAAGTAAAGGAAATATAATAAAAGAAAGTATCTATATAGATTATATAGCTTAAGCGAGCTTTTTAATATTAGCTTAAGAGTCTTAAAAGTTTAAAAAAGTAATAAACACTTTAAACTTCTATTTTAGTAGGTTTTTAGTTAAGCTATTAGCTAGTATATTATTTATTAAGAGATACGTTACTTAAAAACTCCTCTTTTTATATTCCTATTATAGCTATATATTCTATATATTAATATACTAAAGCTTTATTAAGATTCACTAGTTCTCTTTAACTATTAGCTGAATTATCTATTTATTATCGTAGAATATATTCTACAGAGCTCTTATATTAAGCCTTAGCTCTTTAAAGAACCTTTAAAGCGCTATTACTTCCTTAGTAGTCTATTCTATACTAAGAAGCTCTACCTTAGTTATTAAAGTAGTAATAATATCTTATTAGGAGGCTTTTTAAATAATAGCTCCTTTAAATAGTATAATTAGGAATCCTTAGGAGGAATAACATAATTTAGTATTATTTATAAAAGACGTGTCTAAAGTAATAAGAAAGTATATCTCTCTATCCTTCTGATTATAGATAATAGCTAGGAATCTTAAGTTAAATAGATATTATATAATTTAATTAACTGCCTCTAAGTATAACGCGCTTAGGTTAGTAAGGAAGTATAATAATTAAGAGGCTATAAAAGCGATATCTAGCTAGAGTATAATAGCTATATATAGTACTAACTTAACCTTCTCTTAATATTCCTTAATTTACTTAAAAGTTACTATATTAAGGTTCTTAACTAGCTTATAGTATAAGAGAAGTGTACTAAGGTACTTCCTATCTACTATATTAAACTTCTAAGCTATCTTCTTAATATAGATATCGTGTAAGAGAGATACTATCTTTTTTTCCTTATTCTATATTACTCGTACTTCTAAGAACTATTTTATATCTCCTAGGACTATTAGCTTATACGCCTTATATAATCTATCTATAATTATCTAGCTTTCTTTAGTATATCTAATATAATATAAGACCTGAATATTATTAATATAGAATACTATAAAGATAGTCTTATACTAGTTTATAAAGATATATAGCTCCTCCGTGAGTAAAGATAAGTCTAGCTTACTAAGTATCTTTATAAAGTCGCTATACTAGAGTATAAGTAAGTCCCTTAAGCTATAAAGCGCTTAGTTAATTTCTACTATTATTCCTAGTCTTTTCTAGCTTTCCGGAGGGAAATATAAGATTAAGGCGCTTCTCTTATCTCTTTTTATATTAATAAAGGCGTTAATTATATTAAACTGCTTCACTTCTAAGTCGAATTAAGCTACTAGTACTATTATAACTCAGAATAACCTCGCTATAAGTATAGCTATATAAGTTAAGAATATTATAGAGTTATCTTATATATTACCTTATATTATAATCCGAGACTTATAACACTTAAGCTATCTTATAGAATCTACCTTATAAGTAAATACCTACTTCAAGGGAATTAGTAAAATAGCTATATCTTCCCTAGGAATTAGTCTCTAATAGTCTTAAGCTTCTAAGTTTAATATCTCCCTTTCTATATTAGCTTTAAACTACTTGCTATATAAGTGACTCTCTAGCTCCCTCTAGTTCTTAAGTAGCTTCGAGAGCTTCCCTTAATATTAGTTTTATAAGTTAGAAGCTCCTACTTTTACTCAGATATCTAATATAGCACTTGAAACTACTACGTAAAGTATAATAATATTATAGCTATTAGCTCGTATCAGAGTCTTACTATAGAAGGTCGTAGTAAACTCTTAAAAGCGCGAGTAGCTATCTTATCTTAGAGCTATTACTATAGAGTAATAGCTATATATAATAAGCTTTTTATATTCTCTCTAAGCTTCCTAAGTTACCTAGATTTAATTACACTCTATTACTTACTACTATTAGCGGCTATTTCTAGCTACTTATAGAAACTTAGTCCCTATTACTTTAGGAGAAGCTTCTAGAAGCTTAATGACCTATTACTTAAGGTCTTATAGCTATTAGCTAGGTAATATAACTTAAGGGTATATTTATTAGCACGCCTCCTTAATACCTAGACTAGTATTATTACTACTTATAGTATCCCTCCGGTACTAAGGTAAGAGATAATTAGTCTCTATAGCTTTAGTATCTCTTAGGGCGTCTTAAGTTAACCTCTTATAAGGAGTTAAATCTCTACTACTATTAGTGAAGTTATTATTATAAAGGACTATATTATTACTCTCTACTCTTAAGGTCTAACTCTTGTAAGGGGGTAATTTAGAGATCTAAGGGAGCTCTAGCGAGTCAACTTCTATTAGCTCTTATACCTTTAGTACTACTCCTGAGCTTTATAGAAGCTCTATCAGAGTAATATCTATTAGTTCTAGTACCTCCTTAGTAACTAGTATAGTAGTCTTAATACTAACGTTAGTCTTAAATATAGCTTCGTTTAGTTTAGCTATATATTCCGCTATAACTGTATTAGTAATATTACTAATATTATACTTTATATCTAGAGCGATAATATTCTCTTCTAGGTCCTTAATAAGCTCCCTTAGAGTAGAGGTAAGTTAGCTAACTTTCCTCTTTTTCTTAGGGAAATAGAACGTTATCTTATTAAACCGAATATTATATATAATTATTATATAGCGTAGCTAGGGCACTTAGATCCTATATAAGTTAGAAGTAATATAACTAACTAAGTATCTAACATGCGCTCTAGGGCTAACTTTAAAGCCTCTATAATTCCTTCTAGCTTCTTTATTAGTTATAACTAGATATATACGCGCCTTATATATATAT